TTTTCTTTCAGGAAGTTGATCAGCTCGAAGGCGAGTTGGGGGTTTAGACTGCTCCCAATCCTTAACACTGGGCTCGACTCCTTCAGGTCAACCGACACTTCGAAAAAATCCCCAACTGGGCCCCTGGAAATGCTTTCTTGAATTTGAGGATCCATATTATCCTCTGTTGGGCTAGGCAGTGGCTCGATCCAGTTGATCGCCATAGCCTATCGAGGCATACCTCATGAAATGCCCTTCTCTTTACACGCCATCTGCACCGCTTTTATGTAGCAGTCGCGAGATACGCTTTGCGATCCGTTCACTTCCCCTATCCCCGTCGAGGTGGGGAACTTCATCTTGAGATAGTATATGGAAGTGACTACCTTGAAGCTTCTCAGTAGAGGTCGCCCCAGGATTCCATTGAAGGCAGATGGGCAATCCACGATCAAGAATTCAGTAACCTTAGTCACTTCGTCATAGTCACCCGACGTGATCGAAAGTTGGATCGTTCCTTTGGGGATCAGATGGTCCCCTATAAAGCCGTAAAAAGGGATCGAGGCAGGCTTCAGGTCGACCTCGTCCAAGTTCATTCTTTCGAAAGCAGTCTAGAACAGGACGTTCACAGCGCTTCCGTTGTCCACTAGCATTCTGCAGACGTTATGGTGCCTTATGAGGGGCGTGATCACAAAGGCGTCGTCGTGAAGATGGTGCAAACGGGATGCCTTCTTCTCGTAGAAAGTGATCGGCTCCTCCTTACGAACCTTTTGTGGTCGCTGCGATGTGTTCATCACCCTGATTGGGTCATGATAAGCTTCGCAAGCATATCTTTCTTGCGCACCTCGCGTGTTTCCCGCGAGGTGCGGTCCTCCAAAGATTATGTTAACACTACTATACCCTTTGCGATCACGACGCTTTTTCCCTTGCTCCCCTTGGCTCTTCCCTTGCGCGGGAGCGGACTCATTAATATACTCCTTGAAGTGCCCTTTCTTGATGAGCTCTTCGATTGCTTGTTTTAGAGCTCGGCACTCATCGGTGTGATGCTCATTGTCCCGATGGAAGCAACAGTATTTTTTATTATTTCTGGCTGTCGTAGGAGTTTTCATGGGCTCGGGCTCCCCGAGCAGACTGGCTTCCTCGGATTTATCAAGAATGGCCGACACAGACGCATTTAGCGGAGTATATTGGTTTCTATCGCGATCGCAACGAGGAACAGAAGCATAAGACTTTTTGTGCTCGTAGTGAGGTTTCTTCCCTTTTCGCTGATCATTAGCGTCCCCTCTGCGATCAGCTCTTCTACTTTTGCCCCGACCAGACATACTGCCTAAAGCGCCGGGGTCGCGACGGCGGAGTGCTGCCAATGAATTTTCTATCCGAAGGTACTTCTCTATAAGGTTATAGAATCCTGTGAGGGAAACATCGTCCTCAGCCTGTAATTCTTTTCACAGGTCGGTTTGTGGACGAACTCCGGCTATGATGAGAGTCCGAACAGACTCTTCGAGAGTATGAGCCACCTTGTTGAGTTCTCTGTGAAAACGGTCAATGTAGGACTGGAGAGATTCATCTCTTTCTTGCCTTATATTGTTGAGGTAGCTCAAAGGCATCGAAAACTTTCGATTCGCTTGAAAATGCCTTAGGAACGTCGTGCTCATCTGAGGCCACGAACTAATTGATCCTGCTGGGAGCGACCTGAACCACCGTTTGGCATGGGAGGTCAATGTCACTGCCAAACAGAGGCATTTTGCTAAATCTGAGACCTGGTGAAGCTCCATCAGGTCGTTAGATTCATATAAATGATCATGCGGATCGAAATTTCCATCAAACGCCCGCATGTTGGGCATCCTGAATCCTGATGGGAGTGGAGCGGCTAACACTTCGGGAGAGAAGAGGGACGCAGATGCGACCTGCCCTGCTCATTTTGTTGAGCTCTTAGTCTATCTAGAGCTCGCTTCAACTCCTCAATTTGCGGCAATGGAGCCGCTTGGGGGTTGCTTTCACCAATGCGAGTTCAATTTTCGCGGTTACGATTGAGGAATGTTCGGAGGTCGGGTTCCTCTTCCCCTCGGCCGACGGTTCTAGCCACTCTCGACACACGCTGGCTAGAGGCGTGTGATGGCGATGAAAGGTGTAGGGTATTTTCACGACCTTCGAAGTGGTAAGAACCGCCCTGCGAAGTGTGGGACCCTCTCGCACGGTAACGATCAAGATTGCTTTGCTGGCGGTGATAAGAATCACCCCGCCCAGCACTTTTATGGGTGTGTACTTGTGACGTGGCATGGGACAGCTCAGGTTGCGTCTTTTCACCGAGTCTCAACGAGACTGGTATTCTGTTTGGGACGCGGTCAGTGTTTACTGGCCCTTTGGAGCCCGTGGACTTGTTTTTTGCCACTTGCTTACCCTTTCGTCTACGCGCTGCAGTGCTCGCGGCACGGGTTATTTCCCTTTGCCGCGCTTTTGCGTGACCTGTAGGCGTTTTTGGTGGTTTCACCGCCACAACTGACTTGGATGGCGCGCCTTGGTCCAAATTGGTTGACCGTCTGGAGAGTATTGTCAAACCTCTCCAAGTAGCTTCTTATAGCAGGGTCAAGCTGTGAACTTGACGGGATATCTCCTACAGCATTTTGCGGGGCTGAAGGTTTTTTGGAAGAAGTGTCCCCCTGAACTTAGGGGAGCCCCTCAGCGCCCTGGTTGGTTTACTCAGGTTCTGGTTGGCGGGCCATTTATTGTTGTAGGACCGGTAAGTTGGAGATTCTCCTGATGAAGGATGAACACTAAATCAGGCCCTCCTTCTAGCGCCAAACTGTTGATGCATGATTTTTACACCAACGAAACACACGTGTGAAATGTTGAGCAAGCTCAAAGGACACACGTGAATAAAAAGAAAAATGATAGTAAATGCAATAGGGACAGTTTTTAAAGTGGTTCGGATCCCAAGGTAGCAAGTCCTACGTCCACTGATGCTTATATTGATGATAAGGGTCAGGTCGCTTTTAGCTGACTGACTTTACAATGATATTACAAGGTATCAAATGCATAAGAATTCTAGGGAGAGAGAGAGTAGTTAATCAAGTGTAAAAATATGCGAATCCCCTTTAATGAGAGAGGAGCTCTCAATTTATAGTGGGATGCATTGAGGCAATGATCACTAAATTTGTAAGTTGGTGGGATTATCAGTGCAAATCCTTCTTTATGTCACATTGCCCACCTTCCAGAGTGATTTACGCGATTTAGAGCAGGGATTTGACACGTAGGATCACCATAGCTTCTGGCTGGCCTGACACGCACCCACTATTCTGACGGAAGCAGATTGTGGTTGTACCAATGATCTGACTCTTATAGGCTGACTGGACCTGACGTCGGCCCTTATATTTTTTAGGCATAACAGAGGCCATAAATCCGCAGCACAGAAAATCCATTTACATATGTATAATGCATATCTTGTCTATAACTTGAGCATGTCGAATTCTTATCTGAATACTTTTACTTGATGTTTTCAGCAGGGCACAGTTCACAAAGTGATGGAAATGATTGAGATTAAAGAAAGAAAATAATTCACATTTGATAAGCAATCCAAAATAGTTATAAATGAAGTCAATAGCAAACAAATAGCTTAAAAAGTAATCAACACAAAATTAAGTTATAAATATTATATTAAATATATAAAGAAACAACTTACAGACAAATGCAGCAAAGAAAGGAGTTGGAATAATCCTCTGATTGAACGTCAGTGTTGTGAAGGGTCAGATAATTCTCCATTGAAACACAAAAGATGGAAGGGGAAGGGGAATGGGATGGTTCTTCTCTAGAGCAGATGAGGCGCATGAATGGACGGTTTTGTTCGCGCGGCTTTTAAGTGCCCTCTTTGGCTTTTCTGTTAGATGGTTGGTACTTGAATGAATGGATTATGGCTCAACTTTGTTTTGATAATCACTATCCCCCTTGGGATTCCGAAATATAGTAAATATGTTTTGCTTTTAATAAGTCGAAGNACAGAGGCCATAAATCCGCAGCACAGAAAATCCATTTACATATGTATAATGCATATCTTGTCTATAACTTGAGCATGTCGAATTCCTATCTGAATACTTTTACTTGATGTTTTCAGCAGGGCACAGTCCACAAAGTGATGGAAATGATTAAGATTAAAGAAAGAAAATAATTCACATTTGATAAGCAATCCAAAACAGTTATAAATGAAGTCAATAGCAAACAAATAGCTTAAAAAGTAATCAACACAAAATTAAGTTATAAATATTATATTAAATATATAAAGAAACAACTTACAGACAAATGCAGCAAAGAAAGGAGTTGGAATAATCCTCTGATTGAACGTCAGTGTTGTGAAGGGTCAGATAATTCTCCATTGAAACACAAAAGATGGAAGGGGAAGGGGAATGGGATGGTTCTTCTCTAGAGCAGATGAGGTGCATGAATGGACGGGTTTGTTCGCGCGGCTTTTAAGTGCCCTCTTTGGCTTTTCTGTTAGATGGTTGGTACTTGAATGAATGGATTATGGCTCAACTTTGTTTTGATAATCACTATCCCCCTTGGGATTCCGAAATATAGTAAATATGTTTTGCTTTTAATAAGTCGAAGCGGATAAGGTCCATAGTAAATATGTTTTGCTTTTAATAAGTCGAAGCGGATAAGGTCTACTTTTGCTTTTAATAAGTCGAAGCGGATAAGGTCAATAACTTCTTTAACCTGTTTGAAGGAACAGATAGATGCTGGTAGTTTTTAAGTTGCTTATTTCAAGTCCACAATCACGTTTATATTATATTAAGCAACAATTGGAACATTCTCTACAGATTAGAAAAATGTTTAATTAAAAAAAAAAAAAAGGGTTATTAGTTATTACATATTTATTTAAAGTTAATTAAATGCTTAGGAGTTGCGACTACACTTACTACTCCAAAACATATCTATACGGTCTACAGGTAGAGGCAGTACGCCAATAAGCCTTGTGGAATTATATAAATCTATACTCTATGCGCATAACACTAGTATTAATTTCAATCCTCTTTATCAACATGTGCTACTCACCTTGGCAGACATGCTGCTTCACACCATACACTAGGGTTAAAATTTTAAAACATATTTATTTTATAGCACTTAATAAATGTTTCACAATTGATCTAATCACCCAATCAGTCTGCTATCTTCACAGGTTTATATAGACGAACCTTATATTGCTAGCTATCAGCCTTTTTTTCCCAGATCTTGGTGGATTAGTTCGAAGCTCCGAGAAAACTAGGATGTTATTATCATACAATAGGATTTATTTCCACAGCTTAACAGAGCTGTCATAACTTGCAGACGCCACCATTCCATTCACAGATGACTGTGCCAATGCTGAGATTATATTATCATGAGCAGCAATTGTCATGCTCTTATTCTCAGCCATGTTCCACAGCTCCAAAGACTGCACCCAAAAGTTGAAAAGAAAATACAAAGTTAGTGATATATCAACTTACAATGACAGACTATCCTGTTCCATTTAAACCCCACCGCCACTGCAAACACGACACAGCTCCACACAAACTATGATATCATCTTCCTGACATTGAAAATTTTCCACAGATACCAAAGCAAATGTGAAGTAGAATTATCAGCAGCTAAAGAAAACCATAAACACTGCATTTTTAAACCCATGCCAACTGCACACACAAGTTTGAGGGCAAAAACCGGTCACAGTAAAATATCACCCCGATTATACCATAGGGAATTAAACTGAGAAAAATATGGAAAATTACCGAGATTCCTCCAATCACCAAAAGAGTTGAATAACTTGGGTGAAAAACACAAGAGCGAAATTGATTCCCATTCGAGCTAAACTCTTGAATGCACTCCCCCGAGTTCATTGACCAAACTTTCACCAAGTTCTGGCTAACAGATGCCAGATAATCTCCATTTGCATCCCAACATATGTAGTTCACCAATTCCGAGTGTCTCTGAGAATAAATGAAAATTTTAATGATGAAAACTTTCAACTATAATGAGAGATTCATTCAAAAGGTCACAACTGAACATTTAAGAATGCTAGTACTAGACCTTGGCATACAAATATGAAGAAATTAATCTCTTTACAGGAGCATTACCAGAAATGAATGTGTTTTCCGATCAGTTTCAATATCAAAGACACTCACTACTTTATCTGATGCTGCTGCCAACAAACGTCCAGTTCTTGGTTGAAATCTCACTTGTGTTGTACCTCCCTATATCAAGCACGGTGGAATTGATAGTGAAAAAAAATCCAATGTAGCTTAGGTAAGTAGAGGAACTGAGAGGAAAATAAAATAAAATGTTTCCGACCTTGAAGATATGAGTGCACGAAAATGGACTGACACTCCAATACTGAATTTCATTGTCATTATCACAAAAACAAAAAATATCATTCTTCTTAGGATGGAAGTCAAGGGACATAATTGGCGAACGGTGCCCGGTATATGCTTGCAAACAAAAGTTTGGCTGCCACAATAAATTTTATGAGTTAATCACATGGCAGTAAAGTAATAATAACCATATACTCATAAAGTTGTTATAACATAATGCAAGTACATTACAGCAAAATGTAAGGACCCATGTTGTCTAAATACTTGAACTCAGAAGATCAATACTGTGAGGCCCACACTTTAGATAGATAATGAAGACAGAAGTTTCAAGCAGAAGACAGCAAAGAAAATTACATTGGCTGCATCCCATAATCGCACAGATTTATCAACTGAAGCTGTTGCCAGCTGAGACGAATTCGGCCTGAAACGAACATCTGTGATAACTAATTTATGTTCTTCAGGTGTGCTCTCTGTCTGCATTGTATCCATGTTCCATAGGACAACCTATAACATACAATAAATGCAAGTCAACATATCAACTTTGGGTTCTGCGCTGTCATTTATTTAATTTCTAATATACTTTTGGCTCAAAAAGCTGAAAAAGTAACAGAGCTAGATTAAAGAAGAAAATATAATTCAGTAGTTGGAACCCAATAGCTCATTTATTTGTTTTAAGAAACAATTCTCAGAGAGTGATCCATCATCTACATACCAACAAGAGGGACAGAAGAACAGGGAAGGCGATCCATCACCAAATAAATCATCATATTGATCCTGTATTTTTTTTCCTCAAATGTGGTATTTACTCTCTATGGCACTTTACCTTCCTGTCATGGCCAGCACTGGCTAGTGACTTCCCATCAGAAGAAAAATGACAGCAAGTGACCATGCTATTATTTCTTGTCCGTTGGCAGCCAACCTCAAAAAAGGTAAAACCTGAAAAGAAGGTGAACCAGCTAAATTAAAATGTAAACAGTCCCTCCAACTCTGCCCAAATACAACAAGATTATCACTTACTTTTAGATGATGACTCTTTTTGGTACTCAGTAGGACTTTGTTTCAGGGCTCCATACAAATCTCTTCCATCTCCTCCATCATGTGAAAGTAACGATTCCATATTGTCGTCTATGGAACCGACATCCCCAAATCGTTCTATATCTTCCTGCCACCAAAAAGAAAATCTCATTGTTAGAAGCATTCTTTGTAACTTCTATATTGAATTAACTACAGAACATATATATAATCAAATTTTGTAATTTAAACATGTCAACTGAACTGATAGTGTGAAGGAAAGGTATAAGATGACCCACAACTGAGTATATTCGTTGCATTTTTTATTATCGTATCCAAGGAAATAACCTAACCAACCAGATTTCTTGCAATGAAGCAAGAGGTTTAGGGAGTAGTCCATTCATAACAACTTTGACGGGGTAATCCAATTTAATTTGTGCTTGGTATGGGGGGTGTTTCAATTTTTAATTTTTTTTTAATAAAAGATATAGCATATAAATTAATTAGAAACAAAATCTTATGTACTAGTGGTTATATCAATAGGTTAAATTGCCAATAAGAACACCACATCTTGTAAAATTTTATAGCACCCCACAGTGCTTGGATGATGAATAATAGATTTTTCTACACCATGTACTTTACATGAACAAACTGTATATCACTATGCCATAATATAAAAGCTAGAAGGTTACCAGCAGATTGGAAGATGTTGCAAGACCTATTGTTCCCTCTGGACCATTCATCATCAAGCTTTTCTGCACATTGTTAACATGCTGTGCACTACTTGCAGTAGTCATTCCATCCCCAGGGGTGTGAGTTGATGGAGGCGAGTTAGGTGAAGGGCCCACTGTATTTCCTGTGCCTGTGCTGTTCGCAGCTCCTGAAGAACACTGTTGTTTCCTTTTCCTGTTATGCTGCAGCACCATAAGTAACTGTTCAGGTTGATTAGGACAATTGTAAATGTAAAATACAATTTGATTCTTTCAAATATATATATATATATATATATATATATATATAACAAAAACAATTATTAAAAAAGTAAAACCTGTTGCTGCAATTGATCCTGTTGTTGAGAGGAAGAATGTTGCATCTGAGCCACCTTCATCTGTTTAGGCACCAATCAAAACTTAAGGATAAAGCTTTTCAACTAGTTAATGTATCTTCAATCACAAAATGATATAATGTACCTTGAATCACAAAATGATATAACTGACAAGGTAAGAGTTAAGGAGACAATGGACCAGACCAAAATTCAGAAAAGAAACAATGACAAATATCTATGTACACAAGTATCGAGGTCCTTCTACCTTTAAAAAAGGTAAGCAGGTCAATATATAACAAGGATAATAAGGCTCTATATGCATGTCAAAAAATAGGCGGGTAGCCAAAAATTAGGGAATCTTGCGGGGTTTTCTAATTCCTCTTTTCTCTGGTATCTTTCTAGAGTTGTGTTCTCTTCACTACAATTTTCAGCTTTCATTTAACTTTATAACTCACAGTTAGAGCTCTTGCCTAGCTAACTCCTAGTATTCAAGAGAGCTAAAGTTTTTAATGCACCCACCGTACAAAGTGTTCCCTCCACATACAAAACTGCTAATTATAATGAATTTTGGGCAGGCTTCAATATGGTATCCAAACCTTAGGAGAAGTTGATTGCACCGGGGAGCTTATTGATCCATCATTTCTAGTGGATTGACCATCTTTTGCATTAAAGCTACCCCGAGGAAACTGACAAAACCTACGGGGATCCATATCTCCAAAGTTCGTTGGATTTCCATGGTTGCTTTGTGCCTGTGCCAAAATCTGCTGTTGCTGATGTGATGCGAGAAGAAACTGATTATGAGTCTGCATATTGGGCTTCTGCACTTGTGCACCCAAATTTGGTCTTAATTGATCAAGTCCCTGTATAATTGGGTAATATTCATAGTCAAGGACTTATGTTATATCCAAATCATATAGGCAAATAATGACGATGGGAAAGGCATGTGCAAGCAACTTACAGTCAGAGGCCAACCCTTTAATGGAAGACCTGCGACACCTTGATTCAGTCCTGAAGGAGAAATATGACAATCTTAACAAAGGAAATAGCATTCAGACATCATTAGACAATGTTTCTCAACTGAATCCGAAGCAAATGGCAAGTTAACTCTTTTTGCGATGGAAAAGAAAGAACAAGTTAATTATGTTTAACAATAACTCATACACATGAAAGAGATAATTTCTAAGATACTCACCCGGAGCGTTAAGATTTTCAGTTAAATTCTTTCACTTGTCCAAAGATTTATATATTTATTCATTTTTTTGAGAGACAGTCTTTCTCCTTTTTATCATCTTCATTGAAATAACAACTGTTTATATACAATCCTCATACTCCTTACAAAGCGAACAAGATGCTAAACATGAGAAATGAAAATGAAATAATGAATTTACATGACTGTTTCTTGCAGTGATGGAGTCTTGTAACATTACCTGAACCTGCCAGTCCAGATTTTGACTGTAACATTGCTTGACCATAGATAGATGAAGGATCCATGGGCAAACTTTTCTGAGATGTGCCCATATTAATTTCACTCTTGATGTCCTACAAACCCAATATATTGCCAATTCAAGCTTTACGAAAGAAAAAGCAAAAGTACTGAAAATGGAAAACACAAAGACGCAAAATAAGCTGTGCATGTAGTCCAAGTAATTACAGCGGTTAAAGGTGCCCGCGCTTGGATCTGCTGCAAAGCTGAAGACATGTTCCCAGAATTACTTTGTACCAGTTGGCTGAATCAACAAAATGAAGCACAGAAGTCAATGGTTTACTCCAGTATCCAACCAGGATAAAGAAATATAAAACTCGAGTACAAGTGTCAGGAGCCATATAAAATTTACACTTGATGATTGTTAGCAGTTTTGAGATGGGCCATCTTATTGGCATCAATTAGAGCTGATGATGTCTCTGAATCCATCGGATGAGGGTGTTTCATACGTTCTTCATATATTTTCATGGCCAAGACACTGGCTGATGACTGCCCCATCATTCCTTCAGAGTTTAATGTGGTTATAGAACTGCCAATAGCTAGATGATTAGGATCCCTCCGTTGCAGTTGTGCATTGCGGTGCTGCATGAGTTGCAGCTGCTGTATTTGTAGCTGTTGTTGCTCCCTTGCCTTAAATTGTTGTGTCTAATTTACATGAAAATATTAAACCATATTAAATTTAGAATGACTGGTGGAAATAAAAGAAAGAAAGGAAATCACAATTAATACGCATTCCAACAAAAAACCTAATTAATCAATTCTAATAGTGAGACAGCAGAGTTACCTCTATGTAAGCTGCAGCATTTTCAGAATGTTTCTCATTAGTCCTTGCAATAAAAATGTCCCAGAAGACAGACCACCATTCAAAGAGAAATCCTCCAGGAGCATCAATTGCTGCAAACACAAACTATTACTTACAGAGCAAGCTACACTCATGCTTTCAAGATTATAGTAAATTTAACATTGTACAAATCTTTACTTAATAAACTATCCTTCTATAAACAACCTAATAAAGTATATTAAGCAAAGAATTCAATTACAATTTTATCAAGATTTAGAATTTAGAAAACAATATTACCTACTGGATCTGTGGCCACTTTTCCTTCAGTCATAAATTCTTTTGCAGACGCATGCAACTTTCTTTTCAACAAATAGTCGTGAATATAAACATCAAGCCTATAATCCCACAGAAAAATAAAAAATAATAAAAAAATTATCGACCACATGACATGAAACTACAGAAAATGCAAAAATAACAATTAAAAAAAATATTTGCACAGTACTTACATCTTATCGGCTTTCCAATCACCTTGCGCCATCTTGGCTTTGCTAAAACAATTATAGAAACAACAAATTATCAATCACTGTTGTTATCTGCAATAAAAATTCACCGTTGCTTCAGAATTCAGATTTCTCACATCAAGTAACTCAACCTTAAATAAATCAATAGATAATTGTAGAATCCTTGTTTATACTTCGTTTAATTAAAACTCACAGTATGAGTGCACGAAAATGGACTGACACTCCAATACTGAATTTCATTGTCATTATCACAAAAACAAAAAATATCATTCTTCTTAGGATGGAAGTCAAGGGACATAATTGGCGAACAGTGCCCGGTATATGCTTGCAAACAAAAGTTTGGCTGCCACAATAAATTTTATGAGTTAATCACATGGCAGTAAAGTAAAAATAACCATATACTCATAAAGTTGTTATAACATAATGCAAGTACATTACAGCAAAATGTAAGGACCCATGTTGTCTAAATACTTGAACTCAGAAGATCAATACTGTGAGGCCCACACTTTAGATAGATAATGAAGACAGAAGTTTCAAGCAGAAGACAGCAAAGAAAATTACATTGGCTGCATCCCATAATCGCACAGATTTATCAACTGAAGCTGTTGCCAGCTGAGACGAATTCGGCCTGAAACGAACATCTGTGATAACTAATTTATGTTCTTCAGGTGTGCTCTCTGTCTGCATTGTATCCATGTTCCATAGGACAACCTATAACATACAATAAATGCAAGTCAACATATCAACTTTGGGTTCTGCGCTGTCATTTATTTAATTTCTAATATACTTTTGGCTCAAAAAGCTGAAAAAGTAACAGAGCTAGATTAAAGAAGAAAATATAATTCAGTAGTTGGAACCCAATAGCTCATTTATTTGTTTTAAGAAACAATTCTCAGAGAGTGATCCATCATCTACATACCAACAAGAGGGACAGAAGAACAGGGAAGGCGATCCATCACCAAATAAATCATCATATTGATCCTGTATTTTTTTTCCTCAAATGTGGTATTTACTCTCTATGGCACTTTACCTTCCTGTCATGGCCAGCACTGGCTAGTGACTTCCCATCAGAAGAAAAATGACAGCAAGTGACCATGCTATTATTTCTTGTCCGTTGGCAGCCAACCTCAAAAAAGGTAAAACCTGAAAAGAAGGTGAACCAGCTAAATTAAAATGTAAACAGTCCCTCCAACTCTGCCCAAATACAACAAGATTATCACTTACTTTTAGATGATGACTCTTTTTGGTACTCAGTAGGACTTTGTTTCAGGGCTCCATACAAATCTCTTCCATCTCCTCCATCATGTGAAAGTAACGATTCCATATTGTCGTCTATGGAACCGACATCCCCAAATCGTTCTATATCTTCCTGCCACCAAAAAGAAAATCTCATTGTTAGAAGCATTCTTTGTAACTTCTATATTGAATTAACTACAGAACATATATATAATCAAATTTTGTAATTTAAACATGTCAACTGAACTGATAGTGTGAAGGAAAGGTATAAGATGACCCACAACTGAGTATATTCGTTGCATTTTTTATTATCGTATCCAAGGAAATAACCTAACCAACCAGATTTCTTGCAATGAAGCAAGAGGTTTAGGGAGTAGTCCATTCATAACAACTTTGACGGGGTAATCCAATTTAATTTGTGCTTGGTATGGGGGGTGTTTCAATTTTTAATTTTTTTTTAATAAAAGATATAGCATATAAATTAATTAGAAACAAAATCTTATGTACTAGTGGTTATATCAATAGGTTAAATTGCCAATAAGAACACCACATCTTGTAAAATTTTATAGCACCCCACAGTGCTTGGATGATGAATAATAGATTTTTCTACACCATGTACTTTACATGAACAAACTGTATATCACTATGCCATAATATAAAAGCTAGAAGGTTACCAGCAGATTGGAAGATGTTGCAAGACCTATTGTTCCCTCTGGACCATTCATCATCAAGCTTTTCTGCACATTGTTAACATGCTGTGCACTACTTGCAGTAGTCATTCCATCCCCAGGGGTGTGAGTTGATGGAGGCGAGTTAGGTGAAGGGCCCACTGTATTTCCTGTGCCTGTGCTGTTCGCAGCTCCTGAAGAACACTGTTGTTTCCTTTTCCTGTTATGCTGCAGCACCATAAGTAACCGTTCAGGTTGATTAGGACAATTGTAAATGTAAAATACAATTTGATTCTTTCAAATATATATATATAATTATGACAAAAACAATTATTAAATAAGTACAACCTGTTGCTGCAATTGATCCTGTTGTTGAGAGGAAGAATGTTGCATCTGAGCCACCTTCATCTGTTTAGACACCAAACAAAACTTAAGGATAAAACTTTTCAACTAGTTAATGTATCTTCAATCACAAAATGATATAATGTACCTTGAATCACAAAATGATATAACTGACAAGGTAAGAGTTAAGGAGACAATGGACCAGACCAAAATTCAGAAAAGAAACAATGACAAATATCTATGTACACAAGTATCGAGGTCCTTCTACCTTTAAAAAAGGTAAGCAGGTCAATATATAACAAGGATAATAAGGCTCTATATGCATGTCAAAAAATAGGCGGGTAGCCAAAAATTAGGGAATCTTGCGGGGTTTTCTAATTCCTCTTTTCTCTGGTATCTTTCTAGAGTTGTGTTCTCTTCACTACAATTTTCAGCTTTCATTTAACTTTATAACTCACAGTTAGAGCTCTTGCCTAGCTAACTCCTAGTATTCAAGAGAGCTAAAGTTTTTAATGCACCCACCGTACAAAGTGTTCCCTCCACATACAAAACTGCTAATTATAATGAATTTTGGGCAGGCTTCAATATGGTATCCAAACCTTAGGAGAAGTTGATTGCACCGGGGAGCTTATTGATCCATCATTTCTAGTGGATTGACCATCTTTTGCATTAAAGCTACCCCGAGGAAACTGACAAAACCTACGGGGATCCATATCTCCAAAGTTCGTTGGATTTCCATGGTTGCTTTGTGCCTGTGCCAAAATCTGCTGTTGCTGATGTGATGCGAGAAGAAACTGATTATGAGTCTGCATATTGGGCTTCTGCACTTGTGCACCCAAATTTGGTCTTAATTGATCAAGTCCCTGTATAATTGGGTAATATTCATAGTCAAGGACTTATGTTATATCCAAATCATATAGGCAAATAATGACGATGGGAAAGGCATGTGCAAGCAACTTACAGTCAGAGGCCAACCCTTTAATGGAAGACCTGCGACACCTTGATTCAGTCCTGAAGGAGAAATATGACAATCTTAACAAAGGAAATAGCATTCAGACATCATTAGACAATGTTTCTCAACTGAATCCGAAGCAAATGGCAAGTTAACTCTTTTTGCGATGGAAAAGAAAGAACAAGTTAATTATGTTTAACAATAACTCATACACATGAAAGAGATAATTTCTAAGATACTCACCCGGAGCGTTAAGATTTTCAGTTAAATTCTTTCACTTGTCCAAAGATTTATATATTTATTCATTTTTTTGAGAGACAGTCTTTCTCCTTTTTATCATCTTCATTGAAATAACAACTGTTTATATACAATCCTCATACTCCTTACAAAGCGAACAAGATGCTAAACATGAGAAATGAAAATGAAATAATGAATTTACATGACTGTTTCTTGCAGTGATGGAGTCTTGTAACATTACCTGAACCTGCCAGTCCAGATTTTGACTGTAACATTGCTTGACCATAGATAGATGAAGGATCCATGGGCAAACTTTTCTGAGATGTGCCCATATTAATTTCACTCTTGATGTCCTACAAACCCAATATATTGCCAATTCAAGCTTTACGAAAGAAAAAGCAAAAGTACTGAAAATGGAAAACACAAAGACGCAAAATAAGCTGTGCATGTAGTCCAAGTAATTACAGCGGTTAAAGGTGCCCGCGCTTGGATCTGCTGCAAAGCTGAAGACATGTTCCCAGAATTACTTTGTACCAGTTGGCTGAATCAACAAAATGAAGCACAGAAGTCAATGGTTTACTCCAGTATCCAACCAGGATAAAGAAATATAAAACTCGAGTACAAGTGTCAGGAGCCATATAAAATTTACACTTGATGATTGTTAGCAGTTTTGAGATGGGCCATCTTATTGGCATCAATTAGAGCTGATGATGTCTCTGAATCCATCGGATGAGGGTGTTTCATACGTTCTTCATATATTTTCATGGCCAAGACACTGGCTGATGACTGCCCCATCATTCCTTCAGAGTTTAATGTGGTTATAGAACTGCCAATAGCTAGATGATTAGGATCCCTCCGTTGCAGTTGTGCATTGCGGTGCTGCATGAGTTGCAGCTGCTGTATTTGTAGCTGTTGTTGCTCCCTTGCCTTAAATTGTTGTGTCTAATTTACATGAAAATATTAAACCATATTAAATTTAGAATGACTGGTGGAAATAAAAGAAAGAAAGGAAATCACAATTAATACGCATTCCAACAAAAAACCTAATTAATCAATTCTAATAGTGAGACAGCAGAGTTACCTCTATGTAAGCTGCAGCATTTTCAGAATGTTTCTCATTAGTCCTTGCAATAAAAATGTCCCAGAAGACAGACCACCATTCAAAGAGAAATCCTCCAGGAGCATCAATTGCTGCAAACACAAACTATTACTTACAGAGCAAGCTACACTCATGCTTTCAAGATTATAGTAAATTTAACATTGTACAAATCTTTACTTAATAAACTATCCTTCTATAAACAACCTAATAAAGTATATTAAGCAAAGAATTCAATTACAATTTTATCAAGATTTAGAATTTAGAAAACAATATTACCTACTGGATCTGTGGCCACTTTTCCTTCAGTCATAAATTCTTTTGCAGACGCATGCAACTTTCTTTTCAACAAATAGTCGTGAATATAAACATCAAGCCTATAATCCCACAGAAAAATAAAAAATAATAAAAAAATTATCGACCACATGACATGAAACTACAGAAAATGCAAAAATCACAATTAAAAAAAATATTTGCACAGTACTTACATCTTATCGGCTTCCCAACCTTGCGCCATCTTGGCTTTGCTAAAACAATTATAGAAACAACAAATTATCAATCACTGTTGTTATCTGCAATAAAAATTCACCGTTGCTTCAGAATTCAGATTTCTCACATCAAGTAACTCAACCTTAAATAAATCAATAGATAATTGTAGAATCCTTGTTTATACATTAGAAGAAAAAAAAAAATTTGTTTAAAATAGATAAATAAAACAGAGAGAAAATTCAACGGTATACACAATGTTGTCTTGATTTAAAGGAAAAAAAATTAATTATGCGATCAACTCTTATAGTCTTCTAATTTAGAATTTAGAAACTTTGGACTGTTTTTGGAACTAAAACTCCAAATATTATTTTATTACTCGATTTTCTCAACAATCAAACAGACTAAACTTCACACTGGAATCATGCAACTCAACTGAGTGCCGTTCAAACCATCAGAATCAATCTAAAGTCAACCAAAAACAGAAAGAAAGAAAATGCAAAATTCAACAAACAAAATTAACATGCAGTACGGAGATGCAGCTACACAACCATAACAATTACATGAAATTCTCTACCACGCGCTGAAGAATCAGTTCACTTCATTGCTAAGCTGAAATTTGTTGCGCTTCAAATAACTGATTCCGTTGAGTGTAACTGAAGTAGAAGCGCTCGAAGTTTAACAGTGAGAGAATAAAAAAAAAAGTAAGCAAAAGAATCGGCAACGACGAGATTTTTTAGAGAAAAGTTTGTGCCGAATGGACCAAACCTGTGGTTCGGAGTGAATTTTATTTGAGCTGGTACATATAGAAAGATGGTTCGGAGAGAAAGCTGAGCGGGTATTTATAGAAAGATGGTTCGGAGCGAAAGCGATGGACGTTTAAAGTAATAGGCGGTTCGGTTCGGTTACGGGTTATATGTCGAGCAAGTTTAGTTGGACATAAGATTAGTGTCATGCACACGCTCACCTCGTGGGTGGCAGAAGCTGATGTGGATTGGGAGTGGACAGAGAGAGGTGTTAGATGCTTAACAAGTGGGTTGTGACGTTAATTTTTGATGCTTTGGAGGGTTTTCTGTGTCGTCAGATTGACAAACAAAACGATATGTAGGTCAGTCTAACTTCATACTGACGTGACCTTTATTTTGTGATATACGTTAGCATGTGTTATTAAAACGCATCATAAAAATATAATTTTGTATCAACAATAAATAAATATTTATGTTTTAATATATAGTTTTATGTTACACTTCTATATATAATGTATATTTATTAAGTCAAATCTTGGATATTGCATTCTAAATGAGTTGTTGCTTTATATAATACTGTGATATAAAAGGTATGGTATTTGAGAATTGAAATGCAAACTTAACTCAGTTAAAAAATATTTGATATCTCGTTAGATTAGATTAGGAAAGAGGTAATATTTCAAAGCCAATAACGGTAATTATATCCCAATAATAATTAGTGAATCTCCCGATGGTAGTTGATAATTTGGTAAATATTCATTATTTGGATAAATATTAATATATTATCAAGTGAGTATAATAATTTTGTACTACTTTAAAACATATTGGGTAAGTAGAATATTACTCCACTTTTTTAAGAATTTTTTTTTTTTTTTTAACCAAAGTGTCCGGATTAGTTTGTGTATACCTCGATTAATCTTCGAAGCAAATTGAATACTTTACAAACCTAATCTTTCAAAGTAAGTTACAAATATAGTAAATGACCTTAAAGTTCGAATCTAAAAAATTAATGGAAGAGCAAACTTTCTTGATTTATTGACCACCATATCAAACCTCTTAGAGTTAACTTTTTTAAGAAAGTTACTTGGTGTCCAAAATTTACAAGATTGACACGTGACACAATGAAGAGATTCACTGTATGTATTTGATAATTATATTGAACCATATGTAACATTTTGATGTAAATATCATTTATTAAGAATTATTTTATATTTTGATGGTTCTCATTCATATGCGTTTCAATGGTATAAATGTATTCAAAAGTGTGTTAATTTCTTTTTTGTCAGTAAAATATATTAATATAATTTAAGATTTTGTACTATAATAATAGGATGATTTTACTTGATAAAATATGACTGAAATTTAGATAGTTTGGCGCNGCCAAAAATATATAAGCCATGTTACATTAAAGGTTTAAAATGAAATAAAATATTTATCTAAAGTTGTTTGGGATAATGATTTATGCTTTAGAGTTATTACCACATCTTTTAAATTACGGGTACGTAATAACTCACGAGCATGGACACCTTCTTGTTGAAGCCAAAATATTTCTAGCTTCTCAAGCATGTTTAAATCTTCTTGGCATGAAACTTTTTGTATTTCCGTACTATACTTTTTGTATTTCCGTACTATCATCCTCAGGATTATTTCATTTTTCCTTTTGTCTAATTGCAGCAATTGTTCCTAAAACAATGAATTGAAATCCTAATACATATTACTAAAACGTGAATTATAAAATAAGAAATTAAAACAGTAATTGTAGATGCAAAAAATCTACCGTCATGAAAATAGGGTCTGATCCCGTAAGGTTGAGGCCACTGACAATCTGTTGAACCTACACACATGAAAGGGCAAACTGTAGATGCAAAAAATCTACTGTCATGAAAATAGGGTCTGATCCCATGAGGTTGAGGCCACTGACAATCCGCTAGACCAGGAGTCTTGTCAGAGGCTAGGACTACGGCGAAGGCGTCGGGTTCTTGGGAGCCAGAACTTTAGGAGCAAATAGATGGTTTTGAGTAGTGTAGATTGACTATAGGAGATTGCCCCTGGGAGATTGCCCCTTAATGAGAGGGCAAGCCTCTGTTTTTATAGTGAACCCAACGGATTGGAATCTTAGTAGGACATTGAGTCCTCTTTTTTAGGAGATAATCCCTATCAAGAAAGAAATATGATTTCTTGACCTTATCAGATTAAGTTTAATGGTTTAAATAAGATTTAGAATCTTAGTAGGACATTAAGTCCTATTTTGGGAGATAATCCCTATCATGAAAGAGATATGATTTCTTGACCTTATCAGATCAAGTTTAATAGTTTGAGTAAGATTTGAAATCTTAGTAGAAGAGGAAATAGAATAGGATTCTGATTTCCTATTTATAGACTGTTGTAGGCTAATTGGCTGAAACCCAGTTTAGTTTAACTTACATGATAGCCCAACTCATAGAATGGGTAGGTCGCAAGGTGATTTTAAGCGTAGGCCCAATCGGAATTGGGTTGAGGCCTTGGGCCGTGACATGTTTATTTTGTTATTAGGCCTCGTCAAGCCCAAGATGATTTTTTGCCCTAACAGTAATTTCTGTAACTACACCTCTATTAAGTTATATCCTCCATAGTAATAAATTAGTTTGATCCCACTATTATCATTATAGAGAGGTTTTACTGCTTCTATATACATTATGTTATAAATCTTTTATCTGACTATAAATTATTAATTACATACGCATGCATATATATATATAGGCTTAAATATAACATGAAACAAAATAATGAGGCAACCAACTTACATTATAAAAAACTAAATTTAATTGCCCTTTTTGTTTTGAAGCTTAAAATGAAATATTAAATAAGGAATTAATTAAAAACAATGTATAGATGTTGAAATACGAAACAAAATATAATAACAAACACACGCCCACACACACATATATAAAGTCCATTTGATAATATTTAGATGTCAAAATATATGAAATGTTTTTATTGTTTTTGTTTCTGAAAAGGTGAGTCGTGTGTCACCCCATTTGGAAAACGAATTAAGAAATTAAGATGCAAAATTGAGACATTGTGTTAGTGGCAACAAATTAAAGATTCTGACTAATCCATCCTAAACCATTGCAGATTAAGCACCAGGTTCTTATACATATATTTTAAATCACTAAATTAAATTTCGGATTCAATTGCCCAAAAGCATAGAGTATCATTCCCAAATTTAAAAATCAATTGCCCAAAAGCATAAAGCATATCGGCAGTTCTGCATTAAAAAATAAATCTCTAATGTTATACAATACCACCAATGCAATTTATCAAACACTTAATAATATGCACAGCACAACACTTCAATTCTAAACACAATTGATATATAAATCCATCCAATACAATATAATCCTGTTAAGATCAGCAATAAATCCATAATCCACAATCTCATATCAAGCATACATGATCGTTATAAGCAAAATCTAATTTAAAAAACGTACTGTTTCTGAAACTCCCAGCTACCCAAAAAACCTAGAACAGTAAGTTTAAAGAAACTTACAATTGGTTGTGTTTTATGTGTGATATATTAATGAAAAAGCTTATCAAAGTACTTCTAAATATTAAGATTAAAGAAACTTACGATTTCAGGAATAGAATAATGGAAGAATGGAATTTCGATTTATGATTTTAGGAATGGAAGAATCGTAAAACTGGAAGAGCAGAAGAACTGTAAAAATTGAAGAATGTAATGAACTGTTGTGCTTATGAGAAGAGAATTAGGGATTAGGTTACAAACTTACATTTAGACTTTCAGGTTTTTTTTTTTTTTTTTTTTTTTCCTTCATGATAGCCACGAGTATACCGAGCCCACCCTAAAAAACAGGGGCCAATTTGGATACGAGTAAAAAAAACGGATCTAAAATAATGAACTTGTACCTATATTATTTTGACGAGTGTGAGTCCATCCGTGGGTAGGGGTGGACCCAGACCCTTCGGCCTACCCTCACATTTTATAAAAAAATTATTTATATAGGCTTATAAAAAATTCTGTACATATATATATAAGCTTTATCTTCATATTTAAAAAAATAAGAAATATTATACATATATAAAGACTCATAAAAAACTTATTATTAATATACATATTTCACGCCTATAGATTATATCATATTAAATTTTAAAACTCTCTCCACTATTTTTTTACGTACATCTGTTTTTTATGATTTTATCCATAAAATTCTTTATTCTCTCATTCTCTCATCAAGGTGTCACAATTAACTTCGTTTTCTGTTTTCTCAATTTTAGGTATATGTATTGCTCATTTCATTTTAGTTTATTTTAGGGTTGAATCATGCTTATTTTTTGGAGGATTTTTATTCTTTTGATGGAAAAAGGCATGAATCTTGTGAGTTTGTTTTGTGTTTTATGTTTAAGAATGTTCTCGCTTTTCCAAATTAAACCTTAACTATATTTTACTAAACGTTATTCTTCACCTTTCACCCACCACTTTCCTACATTTCAAACGGTACCATTTAGCTGCTCAAAATTATTAAAGAAGTTTGAATTATTATTTATGTTTATACTAAGAAAATTTTCCATTTTTTTATTAATTCATGTTAAAAGTCAAGATAATATATACTTAATTTAAGTTTTTGTTGACTTTAGCTTATGCTAGATCTGATTAAAGTCATGAAAATTTATATTATAATCTTTGAAAGAAAAAAAATTAAAAAGAAAAAAGAGAAATAAGAAATTTGTGTAGAACATTTTCAGTGGATTGTGATTGTTGTAAATTCTTTTAATTATATTGGATTTAAGTACATCATTAGATTCCCATGGTCTTTTGCTTTCTTTAATTAAAAAGGTTTTTCTATCTAAAAATTTTCTTGCGTTTTTTCGTGAATTGAATGTTATTTTCAACATAATTTGTTCAAGGTTTTGCTTCTCATAGATTTATTCAACTGGTAAAATATTATGTTATTACATTATTTTCTTTCAAATTATTGATATTATATTATTTCTTTTGCTTAAGGTTTGATGATTTTTTAAAATTTTTCAATAGTTGTTTGACAAACAATGGCGGAGCCATGGAGACCCCCCTTGGACAAAAATCCTGAGTCCGTTACTGTCCGTGGGTATGGACCCTTTTTGCCAAGTCTAATTGTGATGGAGATACTGTTGAGAAGAGGGACAAGGAAAGTGAGGGCAACAGTGAACAATTGGGTTTTATTTTATGTGATTCAATTCAAGTATTTGTTAGCTTTTACTCATGAAAGCAATTTGCCACGCTGTATTTTCAGCTGTCTTACGAGCGCATCTAAATAAAGAAAACTAGTAGAAACAGAGCAGGAGCAACCAAAGTAATGGTCCTCATTGACTAGTTGTTTCAAACCACATTACATTGAAATTTATGAAGGCTGATATTTGTTGCACCCAATATAACATATTGTTTAGACTTCTCAAATAAATTTTAATTAGATTTCTACGTCTCTTATTTTAATTAAATATAAAAACAAATCTTATGACATTGATTGTCAACGGTGATAACAGGATCAACGGCTGTCCAAGGCCCCTAAAAGGCTGGATGAAACAAAGGTGCATTGCATTGGACTGGGCTAGATAGCGGCCCAGTTATCGACAATAAAAATTCTCTCCGCTCCACGTGGCAGCTTCTAAAGCAAAGTCCTATTTCGGAACGAAAAAGGTCACAACTCAGAATTCTCATAAAGGGCCTTTTTCCTAAAAAAAAAAAAAAAATTTGAATTCTCCATAAATTTCACGTGTCTGCAAACAAGTGGATAGTAAAATCTAGAAGGTCATAGAATTGAATGGAGAATCTCGGGCCGAGTAGCCCAACTGCATCAACTATATAATGAAGGCTCCAAACACTTTGCATTTAATGGTTTTAGCGGTTCTCTTCTAATAAGTTGACCATAAACTGCTTAAGCGGCTGGGCTCTTCTTCTCAGGTATATATTCCTCTTGCCATTAATTGCTTTGTCATATGCGTTGTAGATCTAAAAGGCGCTGTTGATTTACGGCATATTTAGCGTTCTTGCATGATTGTGAACTTTTCTCCTGATTCGTGAAGGTGAAGATCAATTGTTTATCCAACTTTATTGTCTTTAGAAATTGTATTTGTGGTTAGTATATCCAAACCGTTTGGTGTGATTGTGAAATTATTCGGATTTTGTGTGTGCGCGGCCAGGTTGGGATTTTTTAGAATTTTGAATGCTGAATGAGTTCGGAATTTCTTGTTGATTTGTGATTTTTGGTTTGATTCATTTGAATTTGATTGTATTTGCTGTTTGGTGCTATAGACTACTATATTCTTTGATTTTAAGCATTTCTCACGTTCAGAATTAAGAGTTTTATATTTCAAAGGAAGAACATATGTAGTATTCATTTAGTTTATTTTGGAGTTTGATCCAGATACACAATACTTGAGCAGTATGTTTTAGGAGGATGAAAGTTTGTTTTGAACAGATATTGAATTATTCATTTTGGTTGCTTGTGCAGCAAGCAGAGAATTGCTTTTGGAAAGAGCAAAGAATTTAGAAATCTTTTGCTTGTGCAGAATTTTTTTCATCATTTTCTTGTTTTTTAAGGTGGACTTTCTTACTTAGCAGCAGGAAATTTTCAGAATTTTCGTTTTGAATGTCATGCGTATTGATTAGTTTCATTATGACTTTGTAGGTTATCTTGATTCTTGCCATCAAAGATTTTATAGGTTCAAGTAGTTCCAAAGTACGTAAGGTTAACGTATTTGAACTTCAATAATGGTTGAGGTATTAAAATGTCTTACACTATCTCAGTGGTTTTTTTCCCATCTTTTCCTTAGTATCTATGTTCTCTTTCACCTAACTTCGTGAGTTCTCAAAATGCACTTATGTTCACAACCTAAAACTGTTGTGCAGGAGGGTTTCAAGGTTTCATTGAATGTCTATGACCTAAGCCAAGGACTGGCTCGGCAACTTTCTACTACATTCTTAGGCAAGGCTATTGAAGGCATATGGTGAGTGTTTAACTTAAAGTAGTAGAATTTATGAATTCAAGTATATGCACCGGGGATTTGGTAGTTTGCCTAGAAGCAGGATGTTTCTATCTAAATAAGCATTAGTCATATGTATTCTCCCTCATTTATCAAGATTATATTCAACTCATGTTTCTTATGAGTAAAAAGATCTCTTTTGGAAAATGTACGTTCAGACTGAGTTTGTTTGTGTAAGCTTAGTCTATATCAGAATGAAATTCTTTTGTTTCCTGATTAACAAATAATGTGGGAGGCATAGGCATAACTACTCATGCCTATTTATTTGTATTGACATATGTCTAGTAGCTAAGAGTGAGCCTAAGGTCTAGCATTAATTTCTTTTGCAAATTCTTGTCTCTGATAGTTGAACCAGCAACTCACGGCTTTCTACTTTTATCCCCCTGTTGCTTACTGGAAAATTCTCAATGTTGAATTAAATAACTGCTGGGTTTTGTGTGGCGGGTGGAATAAAATATTTGGACCTTCTATGGTAGTATAGGAGAAGAGTTTAGACTTGTGTTCTTTTCTTTAGAAATGCTTTTCTTTTTTCAGTGCTGTTTCTGGGGGCTTTAATTATTTCATTTTGAATGACAGGCACACAGGTGTAGTGGTTTATGGTAATGAATATTTTTTTGGGGGAGGTATACAGCATACTCCTGCTGGAACTACACCATATGGAACACCATTGAGAGTTGTGGACTTGGGTGTCACACATGTACCCAAGGATGTGTTTGAAATTTATTTGCAGGAAATTAGCCCTCGTTATGCGGCTGAAACTTACAGTCTCCTCTCTCACAATTGCAACAACTTCAGTAATGAGGTGGCACAATTTTTAGTCGGTAAAACTATCCCGCAGTATATTCTAAACCTACCTAATGAAGTTATGAGCAGTCCAATGGGTGCTCTTATATGTAAGTTTTCAACTCTGATTTGCTTTAATTTCCCTTCACGCTGTGAGACTTTGATAGGGTATCTTCTGCTTAAGAATGGTTACTTACATGGAATTTTTTGAATTTTTAATTTGTTTCTGGACTCTTACTTGTGTGTTAATCCGTTCTGATTTTAGTTAGAATTAGGGAAAAGAGAGGTAAATGTTTAGTTGCTTACGAAATTGAGTTGATTTGTGAAAATTTTTACTATTTTCTTTTATTTTTAAGTTGTCCTAAGATTTTGTCTTTGTGCTGGATAAGTTTAAGCTATCTCCATCAAATGCAGATATTTGATGGTATTGTAATAAAAAGATGAAGCACTGAGATTTTTTTCTCAATTTTCCTGGGGCACATTTTAATTTAGGGGTGTTCAAAACTGGGTACCCGAACCGGTTTGGTGTATTTTGAACAGATTTGGAAATTTGGTTCAGGCTATAAACTGAACCGAATCCAAACTGGTTTGGTGTTTTTTTTAACCGAACCAGAAATTTGGTGCAGGCTATAAGCTTTTGAGCCGAACTGAATTTTTGGTTCGGTTCAAGAGGGTACCCGGTTTTGAACTGAATTTGAAATCCCAAAATTACAATTCTGCCATGGTCTTCCCATCGTAACACCTCACTTCATTAACATACCCAGCAACTATCCTGTCATGCCCTAAATCTTCCTCCCATATAAAGCCATAGAACATCCTCTTCCGGTCGTAAAATCATTCTCCTAAAACACTCAAGTCTCCCACACAATAACACCTGAACCACCACAACTGTGAAATTAATTCAATCATTTTTAGACTTGGAATGTATGGTTTGACATATCTTAATGGTGATTTGGCCTGGTTCAAGAGATTGGGGTGGGAAGATACGATGAAGGGTGGAAACACGATGGAGAAAGGTAAGTCTGTGCAAAAAATCGGTTCGGTTCAGATAACCCTTTTTTTGCACAAACAAAGGAGTACCTGAACCAGAAATCCGGATTTCTCCCATTATAATCCAAAATTGAACCGAATTTCTGGGTACCTGGTTTTTCTGGTTTGGTTCTGTTTCCGGTTCGGGTTTAGGGTATTTTTTAACACCAATAAATTTTGTTTGCTATTTGTGTCATATTCAACCCTTCTTTCTTCTTTCTCAATGTAGTATGATATGCAACATGTACAAGTTCTGTCACTGTAATAGGAATAAAGAGACGGAATTATCTAGTCTGTCACTGTGTTGATCAATGGTAGAGTTACATACTCTGTTTCAATTTTTGTTGCAGTGCCCATGATACAGAATCTGGAAGCAACATTGAAGGCCGGTGCAGTGCCACAAGTTCCTCAGTTCAGACCTCCATTGGCTCAGTCTTCACCGTCCCCGAGCGGCACAACTGCTACTGTGAACAAAGCCTCCAGTAGTCCCAGCACTCTTTCTGTGCAAAAGACTCTGAGAGAGGCTGATGGTAAAGTGAAACCTGAAGAGCAACCTACCAGGTCTGAGGAGCCAAAGTCACTGGATAATGCTGTGCCTCCTGCTGTCAAACCTGTGGAAGCACAAGAGAAGTCAAGTGTTAATGGGGTCGCAGAAGATCCTCTTGGAGATGCCCGGAGCAAGGTGCAAGAGGAGATTGGCCGTGAATTTGCTGCAATCATGGCAACTGGGAGATTGCGCGCAAGTGAGGCTGCAGCCCTTGCAATGAAGAAAGTGATGCAAAAATATGGGCATATGAACGTTGCCATGCCGCAGTGTTAGAAATTGAGACTGATTTTTTAAGTTGTTTCCTGTTGTTTGTCCGAAGGCCATTCAATGAAATTTATAAATCAACTTCTCATTCCTTCCAGGCTCTATAAGATGTAGGCCTGGACTGATTGTTTCCGTACTTAAAAAGAGTATGAATTGACATTATCTATGGTTGTCTAAAACATGTATTTGAATATGCTTTCAGACCTCTTTTAATTAAATGTATCGGCATATTCTTTTTTTCCGTAATTTGGATTCTTAATTTCAATTTGCAATTGGGCTACAACATTCTAATTAAGAAACGAATGAGATGCGTCTATTATCATACAAAAACAAAATAATATTATGAATGCAAGTACAATTAATTAGTATAGAATTGGGCTTTCATTTTTCATAACACGATAGACAAAACACACAACAAAAAGAAAAAAAATAAAAATTGCCGGTCTCATTTCCAAGTAACTGAATTTGTTTCGTGTAATGTCATTGAATTTGATTTCTCCTCTCATTTTGTTCATGAGGTGCACTACTCAATGGATGTAGCCCCGTCCAGCAGCTTAAATGCGCTTTTTGTTAACTGCTGATGGGAACCAGATATGCGGCTGCCTAAAGTTGATTAAACAGCTGCATGATTGAGAGACATAACATTGGTCGATAAAACCACGGCAAAAATTAATAGAAATCAAATCTCTTTTATCTGTGCAAAATTAGCAAATAGAAAGGGTCTAAGGAATATAATAAAGTTAGCTGATGTCTGTAAAACGAATACAAAACGAGAGTTAGAGGACAAGCTAACTAATCAACCAAAGCCTTTTCTTCCAAGAAACAATATCAAAGAATCATTATAACAATTCTTCTTAGGAATGATATGATACATATGTACTATTATATTACCTTAATTCTGAAAGAAAAACAGCAACGTTTAAGAAATGGCAGTTGTTTTTTGGTGGAGTGAAGAGACATTTTCTTGATTATTTAAACTAGCACTTTCAGTTTCTAATTCGAGAATAGCTTCTTTTGATCTGCCAAAAGCATCAGAAGGAATGTTGATGCCAGCGAATCCGATCATAACAGCAACAGCTCCAAGGTAATCCATGAGATGGGGGGCATTGCCTGTTAATGAATCCACAATAGCTGCCAAGGGCACTTGAATTGTTAGACCAGCTGTTGCTATTGTGGTTGTTGTAAGAAGTACAGCCTTGGCCCATAAATAATCACTCAGCACATTGTCTAACAAACCTACGACCATTGATATCAAATAAAAATTAGACACTGAAATGACCAATTTAATCCAAATCCAAGTTATCTAGCATAGAATATATATTAATGTGATATAATGAAAAACTTTAATCATGAAATTGGATCCCATATCAATCAAAACAGGAACTTTAATACAATAAAAGTTCAATATCTAGAGACTGGCCCTGGTTACGTGCCATTCTCTAACTATCCAACAACTCTTTGACATGAAGGAAATGGGCTTTCTCATTGATTTTCAAGAGAGATTTCTATACTTATAAGCACACAATATATTACAACTTAATTATATATTTTCAAAAACTAAATTTAAACTGGTCCTGCAAAACAACAAAACAATAATAGCTTCTTTCTTCTGATCAACAAAATGGGATGAAACAGAAAAATACAATACACAGCTATATATGATATAATGTGATTATCAGCATCTCTAAGTGATAATATGCAACACTCCACAGAGGAGAAGTACTACATTCAATGGATGCTACTAGAAAAAGTGAATTGTGTATAAGCAGTCTTATTTCGGATGATAAGAAATACAACATCCAATGATTACATCTCCTCATGCAGAAGTATGACACTAAAAATTATAGGTATGCAGTAAAACTGGGAATTGACACCAATGCTCAAGTTTGGAAAGAAACTAAAGCAAGTATGTATAGACATATATCACAAGGACCCTAGTATCTGCTAGGAAAATAAACAAAACACTGAGTTGGTATTAACTAATTATGTCATATAATTGATTTATATCAAGAAAAAACAAGAATACAGTTAACAAAGAAAGAATAAATTTTTAAACCCAATATCCAGGGAATAAAGAATCATATAACTTGAATGCATACCTTTACCAACAACTAGACCAAACTGCTCCAGGGTCAGCGAATGGCAAGCCTCTAGCTTGGTAAAATTGAGTATAAGGGCAATGGGAAGAAAAATAATGAGGTTGAAAAGCCCAAGATAACCAAGGAAAAGTGCCATACTAGCCTGACCACTTTTTCCATCATCATCAGGCAACTTCTTGCGGATAAGGGTAATATAAACAGCATATAATCCAGCTGATACAAGAGCAAGAATATCTCCAAGAAGAGGAATTGAAGCAGTTGCACCTAAACTGGTACTGCTTTTTGAGTCACCCAAGCTGACAATAATTGTTCCAGCCATGCAGAGAAGAACACTGATAAGCTTCACCCAAGTGAACTTCTCACCCAGGAAGGCTAGAGAGAACAAAAAAGTGAAAAGGCTGGATGCGCTGCTTAAGATAGTATTTGACTACACACAACGAAAGAAAGGTATTAATTACACCAAATTGAATAAAACATAGACGTCAGAAGCAACACATGCCATAAAATAAATTAAAATATGCTTACTGTTACTGTAGTATACTTCAACGAGAGATTAAAAGTCAGCTGTGCCAAAAACCAAAATGGGCAAATCAACAGGCTGACCTTTGCCACTCTAGTGCGCGTCCATCGTCCTTTTGCGTCAAGTCCTTTATCAGGATGTCCATCAACTTTAACAACAGGCAAAGTCCTCTCAAGCTCACGTGAAACAAATTCTGATCTTGAATCAATATCTCTCCCATGCTGACTAATTTCTCCCTTTTCCACAGTAACAGATGGATATGATCCATCCACTTTGACATCTACATCACTCTCTCCAAGAAGAATGGTCTGTTCAGAGGATCCCGGCTCTTGCAAAGGGCTACTCTTTTTCTTTCTCCAAAACAATAAACTTCCATAAGTATCAACCAAATATCGCCCAATTTCAGCAATGGGAATGTACACCACAAACAAGGAATTACAAATGTATGTGATGAGAAACGGCGAAACACCGTCATCAACCACAGACTGAACCACAAAACTGGCAGCAATCCAGATAGTTGCAACCGCAACTATGTATATCAAACCCAAAACCCACTTCCAAACTTTACTGTTCATATCTTTCGAACCCAATTATGACTCGAACTAGTTCAAAATTTCCCAATATAGCTCAAAACTTATTCCCATATATATATATGTATAAAAAAAATGTCTTCTTCAGGGAAAAATCAAAATACCCACATCATAATCACACTGAACTTCCCTAAAATGTATTGAAACGAAAAAAAGAGACAAAGGTCAAAATCTGTACTTATAAAGCCTAGAAATACAGAATTCAAAGACAACCCAATTAAAAGATCGTGATATAGAAACCAATGCCACACTGAACGAATTTAAAGTAGAACAATATAAATAGGAGGAGAAATCTGTACCTGGCCAGAAAAATGAGTTAGAATCGGATCGTTGTCGTTCTCAGAAAAGAGAAGAATTTATAGGCAGAGAGAGCATCGAGCTTCACCTTATTAACGACATCAAATATCATTTAGTTCATTTGTTGGTTATTTTTATTTTTTTCAGATTTGTTTTTTATTTGTTTGGTTGTGCAAAACGTGTTGTTAATGGTATAGTTAATCGGTGGTTACATTTCAACAAAAAGGTCAGAATACATTATAACATAATTTATTTACTTATTTGAAAAANAGTCCTTTATCAGGATGTCCATCAACTTTAGCAACAGGCAAAGTCCTCTCAAGCTCACGTGAAACAAATTCTGATCTTGAATCAATATCTCTCCCATGCTGACTAATTTCTCCCTCTTCCACAGTAACAGATGGATACGATCCATCCACTTTGACATCTACAACACTCTCTCCAAGAAGAATGGTCTGTTCAGAGGATCCCGGTTCTTCCAAAGGGCTACTCTTTTTCTTTCTCCAAAACAATAAACTTCCATAAGTATCAACCAAATATCGCCCAATTTCAGCAATGGGAATGTACACCACAAACAAGGAATTACAAATGTATGTGATGAGAAACGGCGAAACACCGTCATCAACCACAGACTGAACCACAAAACTGGCAGCAATCCAGATAGTTGCAACCGCAACTATGTATATCAAACCCAAAATCCACTTCCAAACTTTACTGTTCATATCTTTCGAACCCAATTATGACTCGAACTAGTTCATAATTTCCCAATATAGCTCAAAACTTATTCCCATGTATATATATGTATAAAAAAAATGTCTTCTTCAGGGAAAAATCAAAATACCCACATCATAATCACACTGAACTTCCCTAAAATGTATTGAAAAGAAAAAAAGAGACAAAGGTCAAAATCTGTACTTATAAAGCCTAGAAATACAGAATTCAAAGACAACCCAATAAAAAGATCGTGATATAGAAACCAATGCCACACTGAACGAATTTAAAGTAGAACAATATAAATAGGAGGAGAAAACTGTACCTGGCCTGAAAAATGAGTTAGAATCGGATCGTTGTCGTTTTCAGAAAAGAGAAGAATTTATAGGCAGGGAGAGCATCGAGCTTCACCTTATTAACGACATCAAATATCATTTAGTTCATTTGTTGGTTATTTTTTTCAGATTTGTTTTTTATTTGTTTGGTTGTGCAAAACGTGTTGGTAATGGTATAGTTAATCGGTGGTTACATTTCAACAAAAGGGTCAGAATACATTATAACATAATTTATTTACTTATTTGAAAAATAGTAGGGAGAACGACATTTCCCACCCAAGGTTTGATGAAACGACGCTTTCCCACCCGTCAAGTTTCAAAATGATACTTTCCCACCCTTTGTTAGGTTCTGTTAGTGTCTTCAATTAATATTTGATTGAAAAGATGAAAATACTTGAAATAGTTTATTATAAATTAAAATAAGTTAATTCAAAGTCTTTATTTAATTATTTATTAGTCCAAATATAAAGATACATTTTTTTCTTTCTTTATTTAATTAATTAGGAATATTAATTTTTTATGTTAATTAGTAAAAATGAAAAACATTATAAATGATAGTGATGTGATATTGATGACATTATAAATAAATATTAAGATTATTTAACTTTAAACAATTTTATAACATTACTTCTAACTTTTTAGGTGAGGACGTGAGGTTAATTATTTTTTCTTTTTTGAATTTTAATATTTGACTTTTTGGCTAATTAAAAAATAATAAAAATTTTATAAAGTAAAATATTTAAAGATATTCCCCTTTTTTTAGTAAAATATTAACAAAAAACATAACAGAACTTAACAAAGGGTGGGAAAGTGACATTTTGAAACTTGATGGGTGGGAAAGTATCATTTTGCCAAGCCTTGGATGGGAACAGTCGTTCTCCCAAAATAGTTCGTTCTTAGTAAATATATCTAATCCCATGAATAATCTTAGATATGTTAATTAATTATATTATATTACATTAACCAATGATGTTACATAATTTTTTTTTTTCTTTGCTAGAGTTATCCGGGCCAACTTGCTATTTCCATTGAATATAGCAAATATTATTCGGTGATAGTGTTAACCATTGAATTTGTATAGCTAAGTTATCTTAATTATGTCACATTTTTTTTTGAACTAAGGTGTTTAGTCAAAACGCATATCTCAACTAATCTTTAGAAATTAATTATGTCACATGTCTCCATCTTTTGTAATATGTTTATTTAATACAATATTCATTATAATCTGACAAAACGTGAATGTATTCCATGGTGATCATGTTAAGTTGCATCAGTTTTTTATTTTTTAACAGTATTGTTTGAGTATTATTACTTTATGATCACATCAAGTATACGAAAAAGAAATAACATAAAATACGTTAAATTTATAAGATATTATAGAAGATTTTAATTTTATTTCAGAAATCATGACGATAAAGAGATAGAAGTGCAAGTATTCTGGTAACAACTGAATTAATTTCAATTTACATCAATACCGTGTAGCCCATTGTGGCGGATAGAGTTCGGACGACGACATGTCCAGAAGGTATAGGTGATTGCTTAGTCTCAAGTAATCATCTCGTCATGTTCATTGCTTATTTAGTAGGGCGAGTGGCTTTGCAGATCCTATATTCCTCACGTTACCGTTTGACTTTGTTCCTAGACTTGACGCTTTCACCACTTTCAAAATATTCAGGCATTAACGCTGTTTAGGAGGTCCTTTTTGGGGATCAACTGTGACACAAAATTCAGAATGAGAATCATATTCAATATTATACATCATCTACATAAAGCCACTTATTCACCCTTTGCCTTCTTTAGTACCACAACAGATCATGTCATATACAGCTTTGGAGATTCATGGCTGACTGCAATTGAAACAATTAATACCCGGAAAGGAAAAAAATGTTGTCTTAACAAAGGAGTATAATATTAACAATGATATATAATTCATACTTGTTATACATCATAGCTAAGTTGAAGGAAGTTCAACTAGATTATGCAATTCAATTGTTTTACAATGCATAAAGAATTAAAAAATAGATCTGCACAAAGCTATGAGAAAGTAAAACCAATTAAACCATGCTGAGATTATACGCTTAATATATGTATATTTTATTGAAAATTTTACAGTGAAGAAGCACTTGCACACCCCGATTCAACATGCCTGGAATTAGTACCCCATTGTATTGCTTCTGCCACCTCTTTTCGGCGTTGCCATTGGATATCATCATAATCACCTTCGTCACCATTTACATCACTGGTCATTTCTTGAACAGGTGGTGTAGTAAGAAGAGGGGCGGCATTAGGGGGAATATTTGTGCCTGAATCTTGACCGTTTCCAAGGAAACTGAGAGCAGTGACCACATCAGTAATCAAAGGTCGAACACCGGGCTCTTCTTGGAGACACATGGCTGCAACTGCCACTGCTTGATTCATAGCTCTCACTGGATACTGTCCTTCTATAAGTGGATCAACCAGTTGTGGGTACCTGTTTGGTTCCCTAAATACAGGTTGTGCCTGCCAAAAGAAATAATCAAACATCAAAACAAAAGAAAATATGGTGTTAGATTTTAGACAATTAAGCAAAGAAATAAAGGTGGACTAACCCATGCGATTAGATTTTGTTCATCGGTTGGTTTTGTTGTGTCAATAACTCTTCTTCCTGTGATTAACTCTAACAAAACGACCCCGAAGCTGTAGACATCGGACTTGACAGTGAGTTGACCTGTTCTTTGGTACTCAGGGGCACAATAACCGTATGTTCCCATTACTCTGGATGACACATGTGTCTTTTCCCCCACAGGTCCAAGCTTGGCTAGTCCAAAATCAGAGAGCTTGGCGTTGAATTCATTGTCTAGCAAGATGTTTGAGGATTTCAAGTCGCGGTAGATGACTGGGGGATTGGCATTATCGTGCAAATATTCTAGGCCTTTTGCTGCACCTAATGCTATTTTTATTCTTGTCTGCCAATCCATTGGCTTCTGTTCGGGTGAAAGATCTGAAAATCAGCACATTTTGCATCATAGTTCAGAATATCTAGTATCATATTAAAATTTAAAAAAAAAAAAAAAGTGCAAGAATGAGTACCAAGAAGATGATCTTCTAAAGATCCCTGTGTCATGTATTCATAAACTAGAAGTCTTTGATCTCCATCAGCACAATAACCAATGAGATTGACTAGATTTTCATTATGCAAGAGGCTTAACATCAGCACCTCAACAAGAAATTCTTTGTTTCCTTGCAACCCATTCCTATCAAGTTGCTTCACAGCCACAACCTGAATTCATGAATAAATCAACCCAACATCACAACATCATTCCTTTCAAACATATAAAAGATTATTATCAAACAGATCAAAATCCTTTACCTGCCCACTCTTCTCAAGTTTTCCCTTATAAACTCTCCCAAATCCCCCTTCACCGATTAAACATTCTTGCCTAAAATTCTTTGTAGCTGTGGCTAGTTCACGAAATGTGAACGTCTGTGCCGCAATGTTTTTATCGCCTGCTTCTTTATTAGCAGCATCCTTGTTACTAACGGGATCCTGCGCAGGCCTTGGTTTAGGACTAAAATTCTCTGCACAAAGGGCAAAAAGATGAAGTTATAAATTTATGACGAAACATTATAACTATGCCATAAAAATGAAGGCAAGGATATTGTAACGTACGGGGCAGAGGTGGATTTTGATCTCGTGGAGCAGTTGAGATTTGCACTCGTAGTTTTTTGCTAGAATGTATTTTTTTGGAGCTAGCTTTCCTCCCATGAGATGAAAAACACGAAAAGCAACTCATTTTTATTTTTTATTTTTAAAAACTTTTCAAACCACCCAGAAAGCTCAGAAATGTTTGTTATTGAATAAGAAAAAAAAAAAAAAGTTATCTAACTCAAAAACATTGATAGTTAATGCATGAGAATTGAAGTAGGCGTAAATCTAATTAAATTACATGTAACACTCCAAAAACAAAATCCAGAATCTCCTTAAACAAGAGTATGATGAAGATAACATTTGATTTGATGTTGATACAATTAATACCTTCAAAATTCTCATGACACCATTAACAACCAAAATGTTGGTTAATGGTTAAGGGGTTTTTAGATAAACTAACAGGAAATAAAAACACAGACAATGAGGACCCAAATCCTAAAACCACCAAAAAACCATCTCAGAAACAAAAAAAGGCGAAATTGAAACGAAAAAGGGATACTTTTTTTTTGGAGTTTCCGTAGAAAAAGGAGAGACTTCTGTTGTTTGAAGTTGTCTTTTCTGGGGAGAAAGAGAGAATTTGGCGGGGAATCGTTTAGTTATTGTGGAGGTTATAATTGGAGTTTGGGTTTGAAAATACTCAAGATATATATATAGTTAATGAAACAAGACAAAAATAGATGTAATATAAACTAACATGTTTGACAGACAAGAGTTATGCGATGCAACAAACATTAATTTGGAAAAAATTATCAGGTTCATGCACAGAAATGCTTCCACATAACGTTTACCAAAACCTGGAACGTGCCTGCGTTCAACTATGCGCAATATCTTGTCTATAACAAAGGCTACCCAGTATCTGAGACAAATCATTTGCATGATTAATTAGTTAAATACAATAATTCTATTGCTTTATATTGAAATCTCAAATTCATACTTTTTTTTTTGGAGGTGACCAAGGGTGTTCAGGCCAGTTTATACGCACTTTAACTAATTCTTTGGATCCTGAAATTGACAACCAGCTAAACCTCTCAGTGGCCACCCTTACTATCGCCTGTGGAGACTTGAAATATGATGGTTATTGTCTTCTATGATGGCGGTTCTCAGTTATTGATCTCTTTGAAAATTCAATTATGTTCCATCCATATTGAAGTTTGAAGAAGCAAACTCTGGTAGACTTGCCAATTTTCCTTCATAAGATCCATTTTAAGTTGGCGGATTCTGTGCCTGCGCTCTCTCTCATCTTATTAAATTAACCATCTTAATTTCGCTAAAGAAATATCTTTGACATATTTCTCATGGAGTGGGGCTTTGATGGAAAATTTAAGCAAAACTGATCTCACGGCATGTTCTGATTCAAATTTCAAGAAAATCAACCAAAAAAAAAAAAAAAAATACTACCATGAATAAGTCTTTTGTTTTATTCAATTACACCCCAAGCTTAATACAACAATAAGCAACTGATTAAATCGCCTTACATAACTGGGGATCAGGGTTTGAAGCAGAGATGTATAAGCTACAATATATCTGTTACTTAAGAAGCATCAACAGCAATCTTCAAGCCACCGTCACAATGGCCAGGGATACCACAAATGAAGTAGTTACGTCCCTTGGATAGTTTCACTTTATCTTTCCCAGTTGCGTATGTCTTTGAGCTTGGAGAAGAAGAGCAGCTGTTGTAGCCATTCTCATCAACAACTACCACATTGTGAAGTGATGGGTCATAGTTGAATACTGCAAAACAAAAGAGGAGGAAAACAAAAAAACTGTCAAATTGGTTGTAGCTACAATTGAATATTATCAAGTAAAAGCACTTAATACAAAAGAATTCTCAAATGCATGATGTTAGAAGCAGAACTTAAGTTATTTGATTTGAAACTGAAGAAGTACCAAGTATATCGCCGGCCTTGAACTTTTTCCCGTTAGTCCAGTTCTGATTAAAGCTGAAAGTCCAGCCTGAAGTATCACCAACAGTGAAAGTAGTTGCTCCAGTGCTTCTAAATTGAAGTAATAAGAGGAGAACAAAAGTAGTGGCAACAAGCATAGATTTAGCACTGCATCTTCCCTGGTGAAAGCCACTCATTTTAATTTCTAGTTAACTGCTGAGCGTGATGAATATTTGATAAAATGAAGTGTGCAGTTGATTGCTTTTATAACGTGTTTTCTCTAACAAAGAACAGTCGGTGTGGCCATTGCCAGAAAATGTTGATTTCACTATTCCAAATACTTTTTCACGCAAGAAAGAGACTGCGACGTCGCTAATTGGATATTAAATAAATAACGCTACTCTAGACTGTTGCATTCAGCTGCAAATCATATTACCTCTTTTATGAGACAATTATTAGCTTCTTTTTCTTTTATTTTTTTAACTTGAGAAACAGAAAGACTGGTTACTGTGACGACGATTTCTCACCTATATTTTCTTCATTTAGGACAAACCGTGAAGCAATCAAGATTTACATATAAAGGAAGACTTGTTCATTCTTCTAATATGAGATTCCATTATTGCAAAAGACGTGAACATGTGAATGTGATTATTTATTTTGTTTTGTTTGGTAGAGAAGACAGAAGTCACAGAACCGTATAAAGATTTGAGATTCCAACTTGTGTTATTTTCTTCCTTTGTCCTCTTCTCTGTCTTTACATCAATCGAATGAGTTAACAACGTGTATACTGAATGAGATGGAGAATCTTCTCGATGGTGATCTAAGCATATGAAGCATAGACGGTTCGATATGGCACAGTAGCTTAACTATAGAAATCTGCAGACCTCAAAATCATGGACTGCAACCACTTCATCTCGTAATTGAGTTGTATACCTGCGAAGAACTTTTACATTTCATGAATTCTGTTACATCTTAAAGTCCTCTCATCACACTAATTTCCAATTTAAAATGATATTGGAAAAATATTTAATAAAAATTCAATTACTTTATATCAAAAAATAGATTTCAGAAAACATCCGAGGACTTGCCGTTGTCCATCAGCAACAATTATGTGTGAAGTGATACGGTAAAATCAATTTTGGAATCTGTTAAGATAATTTCTTTCGAGTTATGGACTGCTTTTGGGTGATCAATACAATCCAACTTAATCCTAACATGTAGAGGTTTCATGAAGACGAGATCTCTCAAATCTCTGTTTGATTTTAACAAGAGATGAATGCATAAATCTCTTCTCATCCCCCCAATTCTCTCCGGATTCAAAATATCTGTTATCCTTGCTGCATATTTTTCCTGACTGTCCTGTTGATCAGGATCTCTTCTAAGTTTTAAGTAGAATGCTGCACAAATAATGACCTGAAAGATAATTGACAAAAAAAAAAGCCATTAGTTGACACAAATTGATTTGTGCATAAAAGGTTACATCCTGAATTTACATTGTAACAGTAAATAAATCATTTCCAATTTCACATAGTTCACAAGGATCTAAATTCCAACCAATAGCATGCTTACATCAATACACGATGTTTAGGTAGCCATGATCAACCACTTAACATTTTTTAGGTCGAATTTTAACTTACCACCATACATAAAAATCATCACCCCCTCCCCCCATGCACAAACCACACTCCGTACTTAACCTTTTTTAGGTCAAACATGTTTTTTTTTTTTTCAACATACCACCACACATGTAAAAATCATCATCCCCTCCCCCCATGCACAAACCACAAACCACACTCCGTACTTAACATTTTTCAGGTCAAACACGCTTTTTTTTTTTTTTAACTTACCACCACACATGTAAAAATCATCACCCCCTTCCCCCCTGCACAAACCACACTCCGTACTTAAACATTTTTTAGGTCAAACATGCTTCTTTTTTTATTTAACTTACCACCACACATGTAAAAATCATCACCCCGTCCCCCAATGCACAAACCACACTCCCTACTTAACATTTTTTAGGTCAAACATGCTTTTTTTTTTTTTTTTTTTTCAACCACCCACCACATCCCTAAATCCCCCCCCGGGACAAACCACACTGTAGTTAACTGGTTGAATTGATTATGTTTGTCCTTGCATCTAAAAATTTGAAGTTTATATCATTTTTCCATTGTCAAAAAGCAATTGATCTTTGCAAAAGATAGGTAGTGTGCTGCCAAACTCTTCTTGAACCAAAATTCGGTAGAAAGCAGAAAGAATATCTCANGGTCAAACATGCTTCTTTTTTTATTTAACTTACCACCACACATGTAAAAATCATCACCCGGTCCCCCAATGCACAAACCACACTCCCTACTTAACATTTTTTAGGTCAAACATGTTTTTTTTTTTTTTTTTTTTTAAACCTACCACCACACCTGTAAAAATCATTCCAAGCCAAACCACACTGTAGTTAACTGGTTGAATTGATTATGTTTGTCCTTGCATCTAAAACTTTTAAGTTTATATCATTTTTCCATTGTCAAAAAGCAATTGGTCTTTGCAAAAGATAGTTGGTGTGCTGCGAAACTCTTCTTGAACCAAAATTCGGTAGAAAGCAGAAAGAATATCTCACCATGCAGCAAGACATAAACAGAGAGAAAGAGAAGGAGAGATAAGATTCATACTTCACTTATTCCAGGACTTGTATTGACTGCACAATCAATGTGAACTCTTTCATCATCAGATTTCAAATCCGAAGTTGCATCATCATCTTCAATAGTCAATTCTGATTCAGCGGTAGAGAAGGCAAGGTTATCCAACTCATCATACCACTGCTGGGAAACACCAACCTGTGTACACCCAAGAACTTAACTTCTGAGATACTAAGGGTACAGACTAGCAGAACAAAAAGAAACATATTATCAAAAGAAAGTTAAAAAAAGAAAAATCTGCAGTGTATGAACCTTTTCTGATGATTCCAGTATACCCTCTGCCCTTGATACTTCAGTAGCAGCTCCTCTGGCCTGGAGCCATATACATCCTTCTTGTAATGGTTCCACAAGCTCAGTATCCAAGGGGATGTCTACATTTAATTTGATGTCAACCCTACCTGTTACACAAAGCAAAATTCTAGGATCACAGTGGTTGATTGTTGCATGATTCACAGGCCTGAACTATCAGTGGAAAGCTAGACAACAAACTAATAGCACATTCCATAAAATAAAACGTTAGTTTAATAACATTTACTAACATTGTCTAAGAATATTGTTCTCTGTTTTAAACCAAATAACTTTGAAGCATATTATTAGCATGATATTCAGATAAAAAGCTCTAATTTGATATCCAAGTTGATGCCAATATGAGTTAAATATATCAACCAAAGACTATTTCATGTAAAAAAAATATTAATAATAATAATCCACTGTAAGTTTCCAAATACCTGGCAACAAACCTAAGTGTTGAAGCTGATGGGTCCATGCTCCCTGAAGTCCACCAGCACTGTCAAATAATTTAGAAAATTTATAAAAATGAGTATAAGCAGGGCTCAAAATGAAAGAATTCACCATCACAATCACATCCAGCCAAATTGGAAGCATGCAGCGTTAGATGGAGATCCCATAGGTTGTCTTTGTAAACAAACCAATGAATGGAAGAAGAAACAAACTCTATGTGGTAGTCAGACTGAAACTATGGCACATGATGTCAATTTTTAAAAAATGAAAAACACTCACACAGAGTAAACCCTTTCCAAAGGGAAGGACAGCCAATAAGGTAATCCAAGAATCCCAAAGTTTGAAAACTGGAAATTTGAAAGGACTCCAGATTCTTTACTCAGCTTCAACATCCTCTGTCCAACTTAAAACACCTGAAGAAATGAGTAAATGGACACAAGCACCGCATAGAAACACATAAACACCAAAGAAAGTATTATAGAATTTGGTACCCATGTCACACATGATTATATGATTTTGAATCGCTGTTAAGGACGATATAAGACCAGCATAGGGAAGCTCTTTCGTTGAACAGCTAGAATCAATTTGTTGTTGCAATAAATCATGTGGCATCTGTTTCACAAAGTGTACTTTCTCCATGATCAATTCTCCACAGATCTCCAATATCTTTGAAAATCCTGATAGAATATTTACAAAGCAATGTTTAGAAATAATAAATTGGCATTTATTATAAGGGATAAATGAAAGCATTTTAGTAACCAATTTTGAACCTGTGACAACTTCTTTTATTTCTCCTGAAGCCAAATCCATGATCCATAAACTTTCAAAGCTGCAAATAAAACCAAATTATGATGCCACTCCCCAGAATACATAAATGGAATCTAGCTAAGCATTAAATATGCGAAACAGTAGAGCTCACTAAATTTAAAACATTGTATAAAACTTGTGACTTGGGGCAATATAGAACATTGTGCACACAATGAAGATAGAAAACCAGCTTTCTACCATGCTGGATCTCATCTTAGGTTCTCAATACTTTAAAATGAAGAACCCCAGCAAAAACTTGGGGAAAACAAAGGCTATGCAATGTCCTATTCTAAGTGCAGTGGAGTGCTTCACTTATGGACATACGTATTCTACATCATACCATATCAAGAACCAAATATGGTCTAAAGGGTAGCAGAGAGAGTATTAATGCATTGACATTCTTTCTAGTAACTCCTGTTTGTCACATTTTCATTCTTGAGTGGCATTTAAATATAAGAACCTTAGATACATAAACCCTAAAATATGCCTAAAAAAACAAGTACCTCCCACTTTCTTCATGTTTATTGTTTTAACCAACTGTAAAGATAAATATTTACAATTGCTCTTAAAACCCCTTTCACACTGGTCATAATGAGATAAAGGTTCTGTGGATTTGGAAAATAAGCCCCAACAAACCATTTCTAGCATCCTCCTCAAAGGTACAAGGGGTTTATTCTAGAAAAACTTTGCATGAAGTTGATCTACTGTGAAAACTCAAGTGGGCACCCACTGCTTTTATTGACCGAGAACAAAAAAGAATTGCATCCTTTACCTGCGGTTGATAATTAACATACTATCATCCTCTGACTTCATTAAATGCCAGGGAAACATCAATGACTGGGAGCCAAACTCTTCAGACTTTGTATCTTCATCCCTCCTAAAACCCAGCTTATTCTCGATCCAGCTCCATAAACTATTATTTTTCTTATTGATACTAAATGTTGGATGGAGTGTCTCCACAACCCGCCTCTCCATGTCAGCTCTCCTGATGGCATGGTTCTAAGCAGATAGGAACCACCACAAAGCAAATAATTACAAAACTGTATAAAGAATTACAACTGACGGAACCATATTAAAGATGGCACCAACTATGTAAACGGTTTACCTAAAAAAATGTCAATAAAGATGAAGCAGTGTATCAAAAACTCACAGAGAAGAAATCTATTCTGTAAGAATGACAAGAAAGCCACTTATCATGTACTTGCTTTCTTTTACACTAATCAATTAAATACAATCAAGAAAAAGTAAATAATAGCAGAGATTTCTAATCCAGAAGATAAAAGAAAAACCATGAACACATAAAATGCATAATTAAAGAGGATGAAGTTTTACTCTTGAAACATCTAATTTTTCCTTCCTTACAAGTTCAAAATCAGAAATTAAAACTTCTTAAATGCATACCTCTGAATCTACAATATATAGGCAATCCTCGTCCTCATTATAAAAAGAAGCTCCAGGACGTGCCAGCTTGGCAAATTCAAATTCTCCATCCTCAAAACCTGGGCAAGAACCAATCTGACATAAAAAAAGATAAGTGGTATCCAAGCTTTATTTATTCCTCAGAGTCATCCATGGACAAATAATAGCAGAACACGCTAGACAAAGATTGTAAAGATAAAATAAATAAATAAATGTGTATTAAAAGTTTCGCATCATTAGACTCTACACCTTAAAAGAACATAAAGGACACAATCAGTGATAAACCATAGATGATGTCCCAATTAGAAGATTCACATCCCAAAACTAAAGTTAAAGCCAGCCTGATAAACAACTGTTGAGATGACAATACCAAGCTAAAGGGGATTTCCTTTGTTTACTCAATTAGAACTGTTCCAAACTACAGCCTAGAGAAGACTTAAAAACTGTATTGCAACTCAAAGAAAACAGAATTGTAAAACTTATACATACACAGTCCAGAATCTTCCCATTGCCATCAGTTATGATAATCCGATGATGATTACTGTCAGAAAGGAACAAGCGATCACTACTTTCATCTGCAGAGATGCAGCCTGTAAAAGGATCACGATCTTTGAGTAAAATGTAGTACTGACATATGAACTACTTGAAGCAAATAAGATTAAGCTATATGAGCTCTTCATGTACTTAATCGTGTTTGTAACTGTAGCCACTCTAAATTAGACAACAAATATTAAAAACACAAGTATTCAATTTATCTAAAAATAAAGCAAAGATGTGGTATTGATCTGTAAGTTTCTCTGTGTGAAGTCTTATTAAATAGGTGATCCCTATCACCATTAAAGATTTGATAGCAAGCAGAATTGATGGGTAGATTTTGGGAGACATGTAATTGGTTTCTTATCAGCACTAATTTTTCTTCAAATATAAAGAAAAGGTCTTATGAGCAAATGAGGAAATAAGCATGGAAATGTGAAATCTTGAACACTCAGCTCTTTGATAATCTAGAGGCAAGTCAACAACAAAGCATTCATAGGATGTCTATACCTGGGAAGTGAAGGAGTAAGTTCCTCAAAGAAGAACATAAATATGGTTCTTTAAGGACCTCAACTTGTTTCACCCATGTACTTTTCAGATTAGTGGGTGAACTAGAATTTCCATTTGGTAGCACATTTAACTCCTCAACAGCTGCAAAAGGTCACCAAAGTGAGAAATGGCACATATATACCCACAGATGCACACATCTATTTCATCTCAAGGCCAATATCCAATAATATCTACTCCCCTAAAGATAAAACCATAGTAAAGGTATTTCACACATAGGTAATATAGGAGGAAACACTTTTTACTCTTGTTTCTTTTTGGATAATAATCTCAAAAACAAAATGTCTACACAACTGCAAAAACTACACAGAAATGATGCATAATTCCAATAAGGAAGTCCTTTCCAACTTACACTTTGATACCAAAATAGCAAATACAGTAAAAAGGTAAGGACATAAATGTTATGTCAGGATATATAGAGGAGAACAAGAAAATATAGAGAGAGGTTAGAGCAAGAAAGAGAGAATTTCTTTTTTTTTTTTTTTTAAAAAAAAGATTTAGCCTGATGCATATAGATCTCCATCTACTATCAACGAAAAAGGCATTAATTTAATTGATATAAAGCTAGTATATCTCATATATTAAACACATACCTTTCTTAAGCATTTCAATATCTAGGCCCTTCTCATGGTAAACTCTAGCGTTTCTAAAATTTTTAAATATGATGTAGCATGCTCCATTTTCCATCTGAAAGAGCAACAGGATGTTATCTTATAAAACTACCAAAAGAATCTTTAAGATTAAAAGTTATACCAGTGGAATCTCACAGTCATGTTTGTATATAATCCTCAATTCCAACAAATATTATTGAAATGACAGTCAACTATGGTAAATATATTTTAAACCATCTGTATTTCACATCATTTATATGCTGATCGTAGAAAAGAATAAGCCATTATGCTGATAACAAGAAACATTACACAACTTCAAAAATCTTTGTTTGATCTAATATTACCCAATTCCAGATTTCCAGAAATAAAAAATCAAATACCACGATCTTAAAGACCCCATAATCATTATGGAGAAAACTGCATTTCTAATTACAGAATTTTATTACTTGCATTTTCAAAGTTAAACTAAGAATTCAAATTGTCACCTCAGGGAAATTCTTGTTAGACAACAAAACAGGAAACGTAATGTACTCCTTCATCACCAATTCAACAAGACGAGTTTGATCAGCAGTAGAGCTAATCGAACAGCCAGGTAGAAACCCCATAACATGGAGCAGCGGAAACCTACATAAGTTGCACGTATCAAAACTCTTAACAATAAACCACATAGTTTCTACAAATTTTCCGTATCCGGAAAATGCAAATCAACAAATATTTTATCCTTCCCTACCTCTGCTGAATTAACTTTATTTTCTCAAAACTATCAACTGAGCCAGCTACTTGTGAGCTACAATTATCCAGGAATGGTCCAGCAAGAACCAAAAAAGCTCCATCTCTCTTGAAGAATTCTTTGTTTCGTTCAACTATATTAAACCAACAATGATGTGGGCCTGTACATTCATTTTTTTCATGAGTTTTAATAACACAGACACCAGTAAGTTTCTTCCTGTTTCTTTAATTACATGTTGTATTCAATTTAACATACCTTGAAGCTTACTGAAAGTGGACTGAATGAAAGATAATATATCAACTTGACGAGTTGACTTCTTACGTGATACTTTTGACATTGTGGAGATACTGAAACTGACTGTCAATTTATAAGTTAATAAAAAATACATATAAAAGAAAACACACTCAATCTAAATATTTGCAAAATTTTACCTCCATTTTTGCTAATTTGTTCACATTCTCGAGGCAATGGAATCAAAGAGAAAGCAAAAGTGCCGATTACATGTCTGGAATGTTGATAACGATTACCTAACATTATTCAGAAACGACAAAGTAAAATCTCAAGAAACCAAAAACGAAATAAAATAAAATCAACCAATTAATTAAAATTAGTTGAAAACCTGTGTAAATGTATGGCAGAAACCTTGAAATTTGTGTGAGTCGGGCATATCTCAGAGCCATTTTGGCCTGGAAAATGTTAACCCTTAGGAATTGACGGGTAGGGTTTAACTACCCGTATCATAATCGATCGGGGAAACATGGATCCGGGTTGGAATCTGTTGAGGCTTAATCGTTGGGCCCTATTGAGCCAGTGGGCTAATGGACCAATCTGTTTATGTCCTCTTGATTATGGGCCATACAGTGAGTAAAGTCGTAAAATTGATTGATAATGTAATTAATTTAAGCAAATTAGTTAATAATTAATAAAGAAATGGGTATGATTTGAATAAGAATTTGAATGTGTCTCATTTGTTTCAATTCAAGTAGTCATTTCATACCACCTTTACAACTGTTATAAATCTTTATCAAGCTTTTGACATGCACGTTGCTAGATTTAGATAGAGGCATAGAGCTACCCCTGCCCTCCTATATGGCTCTTTTCATTATTGAAGAAACAACATGCCTATGATAGCGATTGATCTAGTGATTCAAACCAGTGTTAATAATTCCTCTATGACCCAACTGCTACTTGCTACATAGAATATTTGGTCCTAACATGAACACCAAAATTCCAGGAAGCATAATTATTATGGTTCCTGTTAGTTTTGGATCAACTTCTCATTTTGTTGAGACCATTTCAGAAGGTTAAATCTGGCTTCTAGTAACACTTTTGAGGACAACTGCACTAAATGCTGTAAATGTCTAGTTAACTTGAATGAATTTGCAAGGTAGAAAGTGAGCTCCAGAAAGGACAATGAACAGAGAATTGTATATGTTGATGTGCTTCCACCCTTTCATTGTCTCTCTCCTGTTTCCCAGTATTATATCTTTTGTTGAAAGTTGAAAAGTTGATCTAAGGTTTAGATTCTTGAATTATATTCAAATTAGGGTTAGCTAATAAGCTTTCTAATTGGGACATTGTTTATAGGTCAAGATAAATAGTGCTTATCACTGAAAATTAATTACATCAAACAGCAAATTTCAAGTACATAATATATATACCACAATGAATTTGACCTTTAAAATAAACTGCAACTGTGGCTGCCTTTGTAGTTTATGAATTCCGTTGATATTCTCATTATCATAACATACATAAGAGCTATTATTTTTGTGAATATGAACTGCAACTGCAACTGCCATTAATTAATTATTTCAGAAACTATTACGGTTACACGCTATATAAAATAATTATAATTATACAGATGAGATGAGATGAGAATGAAAAACCGCAAATATTAATATTCTTTTATGGTCCCATAATTTGTCAAGAGTTTATCAAACAACAAATCAGATGTACACAACACACTGAATGGAATAATCACTGCAACTGGTTTTTGGTTGAACGTTTAAGAGGTCTGCTTGCTGTTGCTGATGATTAAATTTTCCTGAGATAAGTCAAAAAATATATATAGATTTTATTTTTATTTTGTTAAGACAGAAACACCATCATAAATCATATGATTGGTTTGAATATATATATCAACACAGGGAAATGATACAGTTATAATTATCAAATCATGGCCTTTCTTCATGACTTTGTTTAATTATTGCCGTCTCAACTTTCTTGAATGATGTGTTTGAGAAGACAAAAGCTAAGTCCAACACTACACATCTAATAATTTCCCAACCAAAACAAAAGGACCGGTCTTCTCGTCTCTCTCTCTCTCTCTCTCTCTCTTTCCTCACTGTATTGTAAGTTTTACAGATCTGACTCATACTGTCTCTTTGGTTCAGATTCCGTTCTTATCTTTGCCTCAACTCTGATTTTAACCTAATACAATGCAAGAGAATCCATGCAAAATCAATTATACTCTTCTTCCTCCTTCAAAATAACTCCGTTGGTTTATCTTTTCCACAGAAAATATCCTATCCACTTTCAGTCTTCTTCAGGAAGGCTTATCAGTGAGATCTATATGGAAGACAGCTAGCTATATTTTGGAACTAGTTCACTTTCTTTTTGCTAGATTTGATCCGCGATTTTCACCCCCTTTTAAGAGAAAAATAACAAAACACATAGAACGACTCTGTCGACTCTCAAATTAGAACACCTTCACGTTCTACCATTAGACCCTTCAAGAAATCATATGAAACACAAAATAACTTACGCCAACCGTAAATTAATTTTAACGCCGTTGCTTTTAGAAAAGGAAAGCACAAATAAAGGAAATCAAGCACATAAAATTAAACAATTATTTACCACCGCATTTAATTCATAAATTAATATGAACATGAATTAATTAAACCATACCACCATCATCTATATATGAAACAAATAGATAAATACATGCATATAGAATATCGCTCTTGCTATACATTTCTAGTTTTTTTTCAAAAGAAAAAAAAAACAAAAATATAGTTAAAAAAAAAAAAAGTAACGCTAACGATAATAACAAAGACAACAAACCTCTGACTGAGGACAAGCTCTATTAAATGATGGACTGAAACAATAGCCATAATGATGACAGTTTCATAATAACTTCGCCCGTTATGACCTTATCATCTTCAGCCGGTTCATGGTGGTCCAGTTCCATACTATATACTGCTAAATAAACTTACCTGTTTGAAATAGGGTTTGGTCCGCTGGGAACTTCATGAGCTGCAGCTCGAAACTCTCTTTTTGTAGGCTTGTTTTTGGTTTGTTTGGGATGCAAGTTCACGGTGGATGTTGTAGATGACGATGATGACTCAGAGGATTCCAAGAGAAACCTTTTGTGGGTAATTGAGGGAGACATTTTTGAAGGGTTTACAGGGTGGGTAGAGCTAAGCAGGATGAGAAAAATGCAGAAAAGGGCAAAAAGGAGAAAGAGAGGGTGGGTTTTAGTGGTTGTTCCAGAGATTGTTGATGGTGTTTTAGGTGCTGCCATGCAATTATCAAGAAAAATAAACCACCCCCCAAGAGCCCACAAGGGTTCAATATCCATGAACCAGCACCAAGGCTAGCTAAAGAAGGGGGAGAGGAAAGAGAAAGAGAAAGGTAGAGGAGCAGAAGCTTCAGCAAAAGTGAATATTGGAAAGGAGGTTTTGAAATTCGATACACATTTGGAGAGGAAAAATATGTCTAACTTAACATGGAAGTTTATATGATATTTATTTGCGAATTCACCATATAGCCCTTGTTAATTTCACTATATATCAAAACTAATACAACGTTTAATTTTTTTAGAATAATTGAATTTTGGTTAATTATAATTAGTATTCCACCTCTACCATGACCAAAACGCCCTTACTATCTAGGGCTTTTCTTAGCTTTATAATACACCATGAAATTAAGTGCATGTGAGAGAAAACATCGTTTTGGATTAAATTAACAATAGAGCAGAATGTTCCTTAATCTCCAAAGGTTTTAGAGTTTTATTTTTCGAATAAAACGATGACTGCACAGTACAGAGATAAATGGTAATTGCTTGGTTAGACTAAATTAATTATGTGAAAATTATGCTATGGAAAGAATTATGAGACTGGAAAAGGGTGTGATAGTCTTACTGATTATGAGAAACACAAACGCAAAGCAGCATTTAGTTTATGGGGGCATTTGTAAATGAAAAAAATATTCAAAGTTAAAAGGGGGAATGGCACCTGATAGTGTAAAGAAAAGGGAGGTGGTGGTGGAAGAAGGGGTGGGGTGGTGGGGGCTTTTTCTTGGTTGGCCGGTTCCCCAAGAAATCTTTCTTTGACTTGGAGAACCCTGAGTAAGAAAATATATATATTGTTCTTTGCTTAGTTTTTACAAACAATAAAGTTTGACTATACTTATCCCTTTTGGCGCGTGCTTCCTACCTTACAATTACACCTCTGTTTCTTTTGGTAAATCAACGACAAATTACATTTAAATGTTTTTGTAATGCGACCCTCTCATTCTCATTGTTCATGGTTTTGAGGTTTACTTTGAGATGCATAAATTCCATATGAAATCTGACTCAGTTGGATTTAAAGGTTTTTTAGCCTCATTGTTCATGGTTTTGAAGTTTATTTTAAGATGCATAAATTAAATATGAAATCTAACTAATAACCCGGACCAAATCCATCAAATAATTCACAGTAAATTGAAATGAAAATTTATAAGTGTGGGTGATATTAATTGAAACTTATCAACCAAAACATGTACTTATATTTAGCAAACACAACTATTAATTTAAATGAAAAGGGTACTTTGAAAGAAAACTTAGATGCAGACTAAATGCATTATATGAATTGAATTATGAAAATATATTCTCATGTTTTTCAGCAGCCTATCATGGTCTATCCAAAATTTGTATCATGGTTATGCTATAGCTGCTATCTGTGAATTAAAAAAAATAAGAATAGTAAACATGTTGCTTCTTTTTGTCTCTTAGTTTAGCATATTTATTTGGGATGAATTAAGTTTAGCAGCATCTTTCACATCTTTGAGTTGTAATAGAAAGCAAATATTCCTTAAAGAAAAACCTAATTATTAAACTGAATTAATCACGGTAGGCGCGCAGTCAATTAGATGTAGCTATAGCATGAAAAATAGAATATTTAATCCCATATGATAAACGTTAGATTCCTCTAATCGAGGTATAACTTGTGTGATTGAAGATGGATGGAGTGTGAGCAAAGTGTGGGTTGAAATGAGAGTGGGTCGAAATGAAAACAAAATACAAAGTTGTTTTATGGCAACAGAAATAGGAAAAAGCACACGGAAAGCAAAGCATCCTATTCTCTTCTATGTCAAGAGGTTGCAACTTCTCTCATAATGAAAGGCCAAACATGTATGTATGTCTCCCATTATGGGTGATGCATGGGTCCCCATTGCTTCGGTAACATATTTCAGAGAGAGAGAGAGAGAGAGGGATGGTAAACTTTGTGATTTTGTTTTCCATTTTCAACTTTTTAATGAGTGGCTCATTATTAACCTTGCTCAACATATACAGACTACAGAGAGACTGCATGGCAGCAAAAAGATCAGCATGATAACAGGTTTCATGCTGTAGAAGCTGATGAAATATTACCCAGAGGAAGAAGTTGATATATGTTCATTTCCCCATGCTTTTATGAATTTAATAAGCTTAGTGTCGAGATCATGTACAGATGACAAAAGAGAGAAAGTAAAATGATACAAAATTGGGAAGTAATTAATGTCTAAGTGACTGCTGTAAAGCATAGGTTTGGGAAGCAATTAATTAATTAACCCAATAATATAAGTTAAATAATAGGGAGGAGCATTATCTTTTGGGGAGATGTAATGGCTTACCAAATTACTGTTTCTCAGCAGTAACTAAGCAACCAATTAGTCATATTTCAAAAAGCCAAGAAACACTGGATTTGTTCTTTCTTGTCTCTCCATATATATGTATATAAAATTCATTAATATGAAATATGACATCCTATCTGAAGAATGCATGCGCCATGCATTGAAATACTATATTGAGAATATATCATATAAATAATATAGGGGTATTGCAAATTAAACAGAAAGCTACTTGACAAACAAGTAACGATAGACAGCACCAGCAAAGGAGATTGATTGGACTGGTGTGAGTGAACTTCCTACCTGCCCTGTCAAATAAGCTCGAAAAGTTTTGGCCCCTCTCCTTGATAAGTAAAAACTTATATATAGCAGTAGTAGCTATTTAGCGAAAGTGCTATATTTTTGTTTAGTGGGAATCTCCTTTGAAGCCTTGTATTATAGCATCATGTTCAAACCAAAACAAACTTTAGCTGGCTACCTTGGTTAATCAAATCAAAAGTAAATAAGTTGAAGAAAAGAAAGCCATTGAAGTGTATATATATAGTGAAGTTATCAAATCAAAATACCCCTCGAGACACACTCAATAGAGTCCTGGTTGCCTGCCCAAGAAGGCCAATGCCCATGTGCTGCTTTTGCAAAGCTTCCATGAGAATTGGTACCAAAAGTCAATGGAGTGGACCTCGAAATTAACTTTAATTTGTTAGTGACTAGCTATATTATTAAAAGCAAGCAGTAAATTATGAATGGCCATTTCAACATATCGAAGAAAAAGACAACCTACTTATTTATAGAAATCAATCTTTAGTTAATTTTCTTCAGTAATTAGGTAAGTTCTAAGCTAGCTAGCATCAAATCCGAGATCATTGTGTGACCAATATGTCAAAAGTTTGATGTAAGCCTTTGATTTTGATCCATATATATGCTCCTTATCTTTTGCTTCTTTTTATAGCTGTGTGGTGACCCTGATAACTATGGTGTTTAAAATTAAAAGGGCGCTCTTTGTGATATTCAACAAAAGTGTTTAAGTACGGACATATCGGAAAATTACAACCATCGAATCGAGGCCATGTGAGCAAAGAATATTGTGGTCTGCAGATTTTTCCTTAACTTCGCATCAACTGATACTAATTCCAGCTATTTCTTTTTCATGCTTTGTCTATCAACCAGTAAATAAAAAAATCCAATTCCCACATTTGATGTTGAGAGGACTTTGTAAAGGAATCGGTATTTGGTGCAAGAAATTAATCATTTTCTAAAGTATATAATACTTATTTCTTTCAATCTTCAATTTCCAATATTCTTTTCCCACTCACTTATGTTGAGTGGGCAATGGAGAATTCGCATCACCGACTAAGCATCTCTGATATATATATATAGCATGTTACAAGAGGGTTAGTCACTGTCCATTTAATAATAAGTGGTTGTTCAATTATTTTTTTATTTTTTTTGTCTATTATTAGAGTGTCCGGGTTAGCTTACATGCATTTTAATTAATCTTCCAAAACCTTGAAACTATCAGTCGAGTTCAAAAAATCATATTAGATCCTAATTTTGTTCTTTTATTATGAATGGATTCGAACTTGAGAGATCATATTAAATCTTTCTTTGTTCTTTTATCATCAAATCACCCAATGGTGATTAATTTTTAAATTATTGCATATTCATATAACTAAATATTTTAACTTAAAATACAGTTAACTGGTACATATGTGTCTATATATATACTTCAATTCATAGCATCGTACTACTCTCGTGGATATTAGTTCTTCATGTTGCAGTAGTTTTGGTTTTCGCTCCATATACGTGTTGATCAGAAACAAAGATACAAGTTGTATCCTGTAGGATGATGGTATATATGAGATTATTGGTAATGGGTGGGGGTGGAGGCATTGGCATATGTGTACGAACAAAACTAGCTGGCTTATAACGTCATTTGATATTGTTGTGTTGTTTTAATCAATGGGACCCTGATTAATTGGCAGGATCTGGCTCCATTGCTGCTGGGAACCGGGAAATGACAGCACTCAACTGAGGAGATTTATCAGAATCAGACCCATGATTTTGGCTTACCTCATTCTTATTACGGTTCTCTTCATTCAAATAATCAAGGCCTTAGTCACCAATCTGGAATCAACGTACAAACAGCGGCAAAATGCCATCCAAGCTATATAAAGGGTGATGTGGGTTGGGAGTGGTGCAGTCACGATATTGAAAGTCTCATGAGATGTCACAGTTAAAAAACAAGGAAGAAAATGATTGAACAGAAAGCAAGATTTCACTTTTATCAAAACACAGGTTTTGAGATGGATTTTTTTTTTTTTTTTTCAAAAGTTTTATAAATTATATATGAAAGCCATGAAATAATTCCCAGGCTCCTCTTAATGGAAGAGCCACAGCCATTTTCACTTGAGAGCATAAAAAATAATTAAAACAAAAAAGTACATGGTCTGTATAAATATTTGTGCATAGAACACTCAACTTCAGCTTCAAGGTCAAAATTTAGCTAGTTTTGTGTAATTGCTTCTTCTTCTTGCTCTTTTTTAAAACATTCTTTGGTAAATTCGCCTTTTAAGGCAGATGCTTTCGGCTATCCATACAATCCCAAATAGAATGAATACAACAAAGACTCTTTCTTATAAAATATATTAATTAATATTATGGAAAACATTTTGATTCAGCTTCCAGGTTTCCTTAAAATAATACCTTGATTAAGCTTTTGTTTGGCAGTCAAAGAATTATAGTTTAACCAATCCTGCCCGAATCAATGTTTCGTCTTTGACACTTCGTTTATTTTAAATTGATCGATTATACATTTAATTGTCTGTAGTTTTCTTATAAAATATATTAATTAACAATATGAAAAACCTTTTAATTCAGCTTCCAGGTTTCCTTAAAATAATGCCTTGATTAAGCTTTTGTTTAGCAGTTAAAGAATTATAGTTTGTTTAACCAACCCTGCCTGCGTCAAAGTTTCGTCTTTGACACTTTGTTTTAAATTAATCAACTATACATTTAATTGTCTGTAGTGGATCAGAAATCTGATCTGCAGCTGAGATTTGTCAAAGTTTATGATTAGGATGAAGGTTATATAATGACTTTTACTTTGAAAGGATTCCCCAATCACATGCAAATTATGAAAAATCCAAGTTATTATGTATGAAATGAAATTAATTAATTTCGGAAGATTATAATAAGATTTTCATAGAAATAGCGAAGATTTGTTGTTGGATCAAAAGCATGGAGCTATATTTGCGGTAAACTCGTTAAATCTTGTCAACAACACTACTTGAAATAAAGGTATTAACCGATAAAGAACCATCTTCTTTGCTTCTTTCTTATTCCTTTTATATTTTTCTTCTTTGTCTTTTAACGAATGGAGGAGATTGAAAATATGATCAAAATCAAATCACAACAGTTCCATCTGCCTAATTGGTTTCATTTTCATGCAAGGTTCCTTTCACCACCAAAACATGCAGTAAATTAAGCGTAGGAATTGGCCAAGACCATTGTGGTCCACAGAGACAACACTCATCAATAATAATATATATAACATCTTTTATAATTCAGCAATCATATCATAGCATGGCAAAAAGTGTTACTACATTTTCTGGTGAAGTTGCTCATCTCCACCATTTTTATTTGGTTTGGATAGCGATGCTTCATCAACTCAATCTTTATGCATACCTTTCTCTGCTCCCTTTCTAGTCCAGGTCCTCCACGATGACTGATTCCAAGGCCATAATGTCAGATATATAGATGACAATTCAAAGAGAGTTGGTAATGGTCACGCCCTTGTGAAGTTAGATCGACGTTGAATTGCAATTCCCCGTTTGTTGACCCAGACTTTCGAAATCAAAAACCCTAATTAATTTGACGTGTTTCTTGGTGTTATAATGCGTAGTTAAAAAAAGGTGAGGTTTTGGAGTGGGAAACCGTGCTTTATATAAAGTTGTGGACACCGTGAATTGATTAATGTAATAAGAAGTTTCTCAACAGAAGGGATTATCATCATGTAAAGATGGTAGGGCACAGGAATTATCTTCTGAAATGTAACTTTTGCTTTCCTTGATTTTTTAAAAAGTAATATCATCTCTGCGCACATCACTTTCTCCTATTTGTGTTCCCACCATTTTCTTCATTAAAATAAAGAAATACATCACTCATGCAAAACAAAACAAAACAAAACAAAAAGCACCCAAGATTTAGAAGACAATATCACAGATATGGGCATGATTAGTAAACTAATCTTTTGTCATAAGTCATAACTTCCTTTTACCACTACAATAATCACTTCAAGTATCGTAAAATCAGGCAATTCTCTTTGGAAAAATTCACAATTTAGCCCCTCACAGAGAGTCCAGATTAAAAATGAATATCATATGGCCATGTGATAGACAATAATATAGAGGTGGAAGTCAATCTTTTAACTTCAAAATAAATCAGATTCTCAAATTTTTATTGAGCAAGTATTTACGAGAAGCCTCGATGCTAAATGGAGAAATGAGGATTTAATTTGACAATCTACGTATAGGCTAGTCCTATATCAAGTGAAGATGAAACTTTAGCAATGAATGACAAAAATACACCAGTTATATTACATCTCACTTCCATCGCAGGGATTGCCTAATTCCAGTGTAGATGAGTCCTATCGACCTCCCAATCAAGCTAACAAAAAAGAATGAGATGGCATTGCTGATTTTCTCAAAAACAGCTCTAATAAATGGCATGCTAATGTCAGATAACTCGAGGAATAGACTGAAGTAGTACCGCCTGCAACACAAATTTTTTGAGATAGATTCAATTGAGAAAACAACAAATAAACATTGACAGATTGACGGTATAAGACAGAAGTGAGATCCAACTGCACGAACTTGTGCATAACCTCAAATTATTAGTTTCTTTGCATAATCAAATGATTTTATGGGAGCATTGCTTGCATTATGTTAAAAACTAGATTTTCTTTTTCTTTTTCTTTTTTAAATTTTGAAAGGCAACTCTTAATTGCTTGTCAAATGGTTAATAAGATATAACACTTTTTTACTATGAAATATTGATAAAATCTGATTTTCATCTCCAGCAGTCTCAAGCACTCCCTAAGTCAGAAACCTTATACTCATGCTGCTGCTGCATGCATGAAAGTAAAATTGCTATGGGGCAAAGAGAAAAGGCATACCATCCTGTCAGGGCCCTTAATTCCTTGGTTCTTCTCACAGAAATGGAGATTTGGATTATTTCAATATAACTTAATGCAGATGTCGAAGTTCTAGATTTTCTCCAGGTAAGCTTCTTCCACCAGTTATGATTTTCAACCTCGATATCCCTGCTAGATTCCTCAATTCGTTGGCTCTGAAATGTGCACAGGTCAAAGCGATCTTCATACATTGATACGACTGCCTCCACATTTTGATACAACCATAAATTCAGGGCCACCTGTTCAAGAGAAGAAAGGGTTAAAGCCATGGTATTCAGCTTCCTAATATTTAAATTTAAAAGAAGTAAAACATTTTGGCAAACTACCACTTCAATACCTTGACTACTACTATATACCCAGCTAATGAAACACAGACGACAGATTCAAACTTAAGGTTTAATAGTAAGGCAATATAGGAAGTCCCTTTTTTGCTATGAACAGTGAGAAAGAAAAACAAAATGCAGAATTGCAATATGCATATTAAACATTGACCATAAGGTTCATGAAATATTAATACTAATCGGGCAAAGAAATTACTTGTACCTCATTACGTAATCTTTGGAGTGCACGGGTTGACAGATTACAAATCACCAAACCCAGGCTGTTAATTTCATTTGACAAATTGCCGTCAACAGAAATAAGCTCTAGATAAGTGCTTGCAATCCCATCTGCTAAAGTTATCACCAAATCTTCCAATATGGAATCCGCATGCAAAGAAAACAAGGTATTGTCGTAACAGCAACCCTTTCTGCTAAACAAAAATGGTGGTACAGCATGTCAACATAGATAGATACTGATTGAATACCAAAGTTCAAGTTTTTACTGGGAGCTAAGAGCATACAAATAAATTCCTCATTAAACACCTCTAAGAAAACTGAAACAAGGTCGGTAAGGAGAAAGTAGAGTGTTGATCTATCACATAACTTAGACTAGGCAAAATTTCAGTAGTTAATGAGANCAGAAATAAGCTCTAGATAAGTGCTTGCAATCCCATCTGCTAAAGTTATCAACAAATCTTCCAATATGGAATCCGCATGCAAAGAAAACAAGGTATTGTCGTAACAGCAACCCTTTCTGCTAAACAAAAATGGTGGTACAGCATGTCAACATAGATAGATACTGATTGAATACCAAAGAGCAAGTTTTTACTGGGAGCTAAGAGCATACAAATAAATTCCTCATTAAACGCCTCGAAGAAAACTGAAACAAGGTCGGTAAGGAGAAAGTAGAGTGTTGATCTATCACATAACTTAGACTAGGCAAAATTTCAGTAGTTAATGAGAGCCAATTCATGTTTAAGAGTTATCAACTAAATGATCTCCAATCCATTGGACTCCTAAGAAAGCCAACTTTGAAGCAGTGCTCTGGTAAGAACAAGACCAAGATGCTTTGTAGGGATAATCTATTTTTGCCTTTACAAAATAACCCATCTATGTATTCTATAACCTTTTGGCTTTTTACAGAGAAACATGCAATCTCTTTCACAATATTATTTTATCTCAATACAACTACTTAGTTTTCTCAGAACGAAAAACCTCCATAGAAAACTGTGTTTTGTACAACAAAAGACGTAACAAGGAATAAAAAACAAATACACAATCAAAGATAAATGTTTTTTCTACGCACAGACGTTTCCCCACAATGTGCAAAAACTGCTACTAACATGTATGCATACACTGTATGCAGCAGATAACTATTCCACAGAGTTACTGAACATATTTCTACATGATTTATGAAAACACATCTGGTTCAAGAAACAACACCAACTGGTTTTACCTGGGGGAACCAAACCGAAGACAGTGCACTAATTCTGCATAAAGATCTCTCTTGCCTGACTTTATAATATTCCTTAAAACAGTATCGTCTCCTTTTAACTTCTCTATAATCAGAGAAATAAGTGCCTGAAATGAAGGGTAACAAAGATATGAACTGTATTTAGAAGCCACAAAAGAGAGAAATGCAATGGTATGGAAAGTGCTACAAATCAAAATTTGCAAGGTACCTCATCAGAATTGCTGTTGTCTAGCTCAAACTCATTTTCCAGCCAAATCATGCACACTGGTTGACAGGATTCTCGAATAATTTCAGAAAAAACGGTCGTCCAATCATCCATGTTAAAAGTTTCAGGATTGCCTGAGAAATTATTTACCTGAAATAAAATGCTGAAATATTAGATCACCAGAGCTGAAAAAATTATTTAAGAGACGGAAATATTGCAATTAGTAACCATGCAATGCCTCATTTACAGGGAACACACCATACTTCCAATATATGAATTCAAAATGATACACTGATATATCAAATTACATGCATCTAAGATGTAACTGACCTAACTGTGGCAAATGAATCATAGAAACCATATCAAATAGAGTTGAGAAGTAAAGCCCAATGTTCCTTCACAAAAAGATTATTTGTAAGTACTGCACATAATTTTGGCAAATTATGCTGTAACTATGTGATAAATACAAATTGTTGTAACAATCCTTTCTCCTATGCTGAAGGGTAAATATATAGTATATACGTCATTAATATATGTACTTAAATGTTAAATAAGATTACAAATTCAAACATTATTTCCAGCAACTTTTAATAGTGAGCAACATATTTATCTTTCAATCACAATTAATTAAAACACTAATGTTTTCACACTTTTGCTACCAACAAATTTTTAGATTCACATTCAAGATTGTTACAATCTAAAAGACTTCTGAAAAAAAAAATTATGAACAAGAAGCACAGCTATTTATCTATCTTTCTGCAATTACAACCAAAATAAGTGACTTTTATTTTTTCTTTAACCAGCAGTGTCTTGTAACAAGTACAAGTATCCATATATGCAGGTAAAATGCCCAATTTCTTTAAAAGTAGCAAATTTATGCATTATAACTATAGTGCAAGGAGACAATATAGACAATGCCTGCCTCTTTCTCAAGCTGCTGAAAAGAAGCCCAAAGCAACCGCAACTTCGGTCCCTCAGATACAGCATACAAACTTAATGGGCGCTTTCCTTGTTGTTCAAATCCAAGGGCTCTGTTTGCAGAATTATTCCCATGTTCAATAGCATCTAGAGAATCCAAAAGTTTTTCTTTCACTACTTCCCAAGCATAATTTAAATTATCTTTGTCAGCATTCTTCCTGGCACTGCATTTAGAGGAGAGATAGCCTGAGTAACAGAGAGAAACAAGCATACAGAAACCAGAAATGCATTCACATTCCGGATAACCAAAACACTTATGTCCATGTCCAACAAAACATATGAAATATTTGATATCCTTACCCTTACCTACCAGGAGAGGTTGAGCTATCAGGGACCACAACGTTATCGAGGATGTTCTTTTGCAAAGTGTGATTAGACTTCTGAACAGGAATTACTCCAGCCAGATATGTAAGGAATATACTAGCCATAAGAAGTACCTGATCACCAACAGGAACCCATTTAAAGGCTGTTGCACAATCAGGGTTCACCAAAAACCCCAAGCAACTACATTTGAACGAACGGTCCCTGAGTTGTGGATAAACTTGCTGATTTTCAACACCTGAAGTACTAATCACTTGTATTTTCTCCATTGAGAACTGGGCAACTTTACATCTTCCACGGGAACACCTTCTACAGCCACAAAGGCAAAAGAAAATGCAAGACTCAGCATCATCACTAATATTTATCCCTTTATTGCGTTAACATCTCTGTGCACACAGAATAATATAGTTGCTAAGCATGTTTTAATGCATATATTTGTAAAACACTATGCTACAATTATTTGGGACGTGAGGCACAGCTCAACTGGACCAAATATGGAATACAAAGTTCTCTTAATTTTGACATCATAACAAAACTTAGAGCAAAAGATTCAAAATATCATTCTCTGTGGTTCTCACAATTTCTCATCAAGTAAGCGAGCGTCTGATAAATAATAACACTCCCACAACAATGATTAACAATGATGACCAACTGAGAACCATCTGCTGAGAAATATGAAACTGAATAAGAAATCAAGAATGATTACTCAAACAGGCAATGCCCATTCCCATTCTCAAAGCACCATCAAAGATCAATCTAAAATGAAGCAAACAACTAAGGAAAGAAAACCTTTGAGCTGGTCTAAAATATGAATTCCGTAGTAGAAATTGCCGCTCTTTTACGTAAGTTCTCTGCATATGCAGCTTGACACATGATGGTGCTGCCACATATTCCGCCATTTTTCAAATTCAAGTTCCTCAATCAACACATAGCGTGAGTTGCACGTGCATTGCAAACTATTCAAACGACCACAGCTGCCAAACCAATTGATACATTAAATATTTGCATAAAATCGATTTGAAATGGATTCAATCAAATAGTTTATAAAACCAATAATATTAAGCAGCAACAAATTGAAGGCGAAGTGAATCCTTAATTTAATTAAATACTAAACCAACGTCTACTTATATTTAGATCTCTAAGTTGACAGTAAGAGCAAGCAACAAAAGTTAAATAAATTAAATGTAATGTAAATTACGAAAATGCAGTTACCGATGAAGGCGAAGTGAGAATGTAGATGGAAGAAGACGAGTGAGATTGAAGAGGTTAGGGTTTTGATTTGAAATAAGAGAGGAAGAAAAGAAGAGGTTGATAAATGAAGATGAGGATTGGATTTGTGCGTACCTGGTTCTTTCCGTCCTAACACAATACACCAAATCAAATGAGAGGGCTCGCTGCGTTACCCTCTCTCTTCTCTGTTCCTTTCCTTTTCGTTTTTATTTTTCTGGACACAATCTTATTCTTGGATGAAAATTGACATGACAATTGACAGGCATGTACATGATAATGGATTATTTAGAACAAGCTTTCTTTTATTTTTATTCAAAATAAAATGCTACTTCTTTTATAATTTTTTATTACCGTTGACTGCATAGTATTAGTATCTCTATTTTAATAGAAAAATTAAGAGTAATAAACGGTTAAGAAATAAGAATTATTAAATAATACATATTTCAAAAAAAAAAATCTCTGATAAAATATATGTAATACTATTTAAAATATCAACGTTAATAATATTAAATGATTATGATAATAATTTGAAAAAAATGTAAGGACTTAACGTTTTCTTAAATAAAAATATTAATGTTTGGAAGTCATATTATATTTGTTTCTAACTAAATTAAAGCAATTCTAAGATACAATATGATTATCCAAAAATAAGCGTTTCTGTTATTTAATAAAATAAAATTTAGAACCCAATCCAAATATGGGGTGGTGGCGCAGTTGGCTAGCGCGTAGGTCTCATAGCTAAACGAGTAATTCTGAGGTCGAGAGTTCGAGCCTCTCTCACCCCAATTTTTTTTATTTATTAGTTATTTTTAAAATTTTCTTTCTGCACCGACCCTACCCATGTCATGACTCAACCTCCATCAAAAACCCTAAAAACGGCCTCTTGCCTCCCCTTGCATTCTTTTCCCCCGAACCCTTGAAGTTGAAGGCAACCGAAAATGGTGAAGAAGAGTAAAAGTGAGCAAAACATCCCCTTCCTTACTAATTTGCAGTCACCATTATAATGATATTATTGTTTTATTTATTTGTTATGTGATTGATGCAGAGAGTAAGAGTAAGAGAGTATCGTTGAAGCAGAAATACAAAGTAATAAAGAAAGTAAAAGAGCACCACAAAAAGAAGGCTAAGGAAGCCAAGAAGCTCAATTTGAACCGTAAACGCAAAGTTGAGAAAGACCCTGGTATTCCCAACGACTGGCCCTTCAAGGAACAAGAGCTCAAGGCCCTTGAGGCTCGCCGTGCTCGTGCCATCGAAGAGTTGGAGCAAAAGAAAGCCGCCCGCAAGGAGAGGGTATTATTCTTTTTGTTTCTCCGCTGATTATATTTATAGATGTAACACTTTAAGTTTTGGTAATTATGAGTAGAATGGACTTAGTTTCTTGGTGTTTTTGGTGACGGTATATATACTGTGTAGATGCAATTGTTTACCTCGTTTGTGTTGTATCTTTAGTTGGGTATTGGTAAATGGTATAAGGATCTCTGTGTTTTTTCAGGCTCAGAAAAGGAAGTTGGGTTTACTACAGGATGGTGATACTGCTACTGCAGGAGAACAAGATTTTGGAGAGGGGAAGAGCAGTGATTATTCAACTGGATTCCAGAAAAACCGGGGTATGTTTTTATGTAATTGGAAGTTGCTTTTCTGGGTGAAAAGATGCAAAACACTTAAGTTAGATATATGTATTCGCTTTAAGGTTTTTTGCTGTTTGTGAAAATATTTTGCATTCGTACAGATAACTCGGATAGGGCTTTCTATAAGGAGTTGGTTAAAGTCATTGAAGCATCAGATGTCATTTTGGAAGTTCTTGATGCTCGAGATCCCCTTGGTACTCGCTGTGTTGACATGGAAAAGATGGTGATGAAAGCAGGCCCTGAGAAGCACTTAGTGTTGCTTCTGAATAAAATCGGTAATTTGGTTTCCTCACTGTCCTTGCTTACTGTCTCTATATGTCCCTTCTTTGTATTAAGAAGAATATCAAGTTCAAGATATTGAAAAATAGTTTGTGGTCATTACCTTTTACCTTTATGATTTCACCTGTACTAATCTAATGCATGTTTGTATTTTAGATCTAGTCCCTAGAGAAGCTGTTGAGAAGTGGCTCAAATACCTTAGGGAAGAATTGCCTGCTGTTGCCTTCAAGTGCAGCACCCAAGAGCAAAGGTCAAATTTAGGGTGGAAATCCTCAAAAGCATCAAAACCTAGCAACCTTTTGCAAACCAGTGATTGTCTTGGAGCTGAGACACTGATTAAACTTTTGAAGAATTACTCAAGAAGTCATGAGGTAATTTTGGCTATTGTTTTTTTGTTAGGATCCTTATTTTCTTTCTCCTATGTTCTTGCTGCTTATATGTTGTGTGTGCCAATAGTTGCAATGGATTTCAAACTTCTGATAGTCTATCACTTTCTTGCAATTACTAATCTATAACTTCTACTGGTCTATGGCAGATCAAGAAGTCTATCACAGTGGGTATTATTGGCCTACCAAATGTCGGTAAAAGTAGTCTAATTAACAGTTTGAAGAGATGTCATGTTGTAAATGTTGGGGCTACTCCAGGGTTAACCAGATCAATGCAAGAAGTTCATTTAGACAAGAATGTTAAATTGTTGGACTGCCCTGGTGTTGTAATGATTAAATCAGGGGAGAATGATGCTTCAGTAGCTCTTCGAAACTGCAAAAGAATTGAAAAATTAGAAGATCCAGTTGGACCCGGTAATTGAATCATCCACCAGTTTTCTTAAATTTCTGGAGTTTATGTGCAAAACACTCAACTGCTGTCTTGTGAATTTTCTAATTGATAAGTAGTAATTTCTTATCTGTTTTAGTAATAGAAAGTGTTTTTTCTGCATATATGAACATATGCATTGCTACATAATCTTGTTGTTTATTGACGGTGTCTCTCATCCCTTTTTATCACTCACACATCTTTTTTATGGATAATTCAGTGAAGGAAATTCTCAAGCTTTGCCCAGCCACAGTGTTGGTAACATTATACAAAGTCCCAAGCTTTGATTCAGTTGATGACTTCCTGCAGAAGATAGCGACCGTCAGGGGTAAGCTTAAAAAGGGTGGTGTTGTGGATGTTGAAGCTGCTGCAAGAATTGTTCTGCACGACTGGAATGAGGGTATAGATTTGTGGATGCTTATTGAATTTGATTTTAGTCTAAATTCACTCAGAAAACAAGATGAAATAATGAACAAAATACTATATATTGCATAGAAAGAAAGTGATTTTCAGTACTGAGTCAACAAGTACTTTGATTTGACATATTTCAGGTAAAATTCCATATTTCACTATGCCCCCATCGAGGAATCAGGAAGAACCTTCAGAGGCAAAGATTGTTTCAGAGCTTGGTAAAGAATTTAATGTTGATGAGATATATAATGGTGAATCTTCATTCATTGGAAGCCTCAAGTCTGTTGGCGACTTCCATCCTGTTGAAGTTCCTCCAAGTTGTCCACTCAGTTTTGATGAAACCATGCTGGAGGTTTGTTATGCTTTCAATTGTTTAAGGCTGCTGTGTAATCCTTATGGACTGCCTAACTTTTCAAATGTATGCTTATAGTCATAAATTATGAATGTATTTAAAGAAATATATGAAAAAAAAAATTAATTTCAAATGCCTTTACTAACATGGTTTTTTGAACCTCGCCTGATTTTACAATTAATGTCTTATTTGTTGTACTCAGGAAGATGTGCAACAGCAATCATCGGCCCAAGGTAATGAAGGACAGGAGGATAGATCTAACATTGATAATGACCAGCCCATGGAAGGTGAAGAAGACAATGCAAGAAAAACTAAAGGAACAACTGCCACAAGCAGGCAGAATGAGAAATTATATTCAGCCGAAGGAATACTTAATACAAAAATGAAAAAAGCAGAAATGAAGAGGAGGAAAAAAGCCAAGAAAATGGATGCCATGGATGATGATTATGATTTCAAAGTGGATTATGCTAAGAAGGGATCTGCCATAGATGCGAGTGATGAGGAGGAAGCTCCAATCATCGCTGAAGTGCCTATGTTGGGTGTTCAGTTTGATGATGAGTGATGACAATAGTTAAGAACAACTAAATGGGGAGGCTTTTTTCTTCTTCATTTTTTCCTCTTTTTGGGACTACTTACATCCAGTATGAGCTCTATCGGATGTAAAACATTTTTGTTAAGAACTTTTATATGGCTATTTATTCCATTCAGTTTTGTTTCTATTATGCATGTATTAATGCCTTAAATGGGAATTATCAGATTAATATATGCGCGATATGTCTTACATGGTTATTATCTTACTCTGATTCTCCCATTTTGGGCTGTCCTAGGTTTTAACCTGTGTGAGGTAACCGTAAAACCTGAAGTTTCATCAATTCGTTTTTCTGGCGTTCAGCTTAGCTTCTAATATTCTATAGCAACTTAAGAGTTAAAACTTTTGAGTATTAAAAGTTGGGCTTTCTGGTACGATAACGACGTATCTGTTATGTATTGACATTATATAGACTTCAATCCTGTTATGATCTAAAGGCCTTATGCGATCTCGCAATTTCCTCACTAAACAGTACCTGGATTATAAAACTAAAAGTTTGCTGGTACTGAGTCACTGACTAGATTCTGATTGTACTACTGTTTGAGTACCCGAATCAGCTGGAATTGAGTGGCTGTTATCCCATTGCTGAAGACATAATTTGCATTCAAATCATCAAGTAGAGCAATATGCCATCCAACCAATTTTTTTTTTTCTATTAACCTTCAATTTTCAGACACTGGGTAGACGAAATGAAGATCATACCTGCCTAAGATTTTTTATTTTTTATTTTCATATAAGAGTAGAATTAACCACAGCCGTTTGCCTACGGTATTCACAACAAAATGGAGTGGTTACAGACTTACAGTGAGTTTCAAATCCATGTATCAATTATTTTTAACTGCTTAGCTTGGATATGAAGTTGTTTTTTGAGTCACTAAAGCAAACCAAAAGGAGATTCCCTCTTCCTCTCACTCTCATAAAAAGGTAGGTAAAAAGAACCGATCTTATTCATGATTCAATGGACTATATGCTATAAGAACCAACACTAACTGTCACTTTGGAAGATGTGGTTTATACCATAATACAGATCGGTGTCTGACATAAAGCTTTTCAGGCACCCACTAAGACATGGTTATAAATGCCTAGTCCTCATCTGACACCTGCTCAGCAGGATTTGGATCTGACTCATAGGTGGGGGTGATTGGATCATTCGATGAGGATGGACTTGCGGGAGTTACGCTGCTCGCATTTACAGGTGAAGCTGTTGAAGTAGAACCAAGAGTGACTGATGTTGTGTTTTCTGTACTGGACTTGGGGACATGTCCTCGTGCCTCCATGGCTTCACGTGCAGCTTTCTCCTTTGCTTTTTTGGCTCTTTCAAATACATCTTCCTGCAATAATCACTTATATAACTTCTTAGCATCAAAAGTCAGGTTAGTTTACCACTACAAATCATGTACTCCAACAATGCTCATATTAGATCGGTAAAATGAATCCAAATCTGTTGCATACCTAAAACAATATCAAAAAACGTTGTGCAAGGAGTAGGGCATAATCTATTTCAACAAATCAATGAAATTGATTCTTCATTTATTTTTCAGAAAACAAGTCTTGCTCACTAAGACTTCAGTGGCATGAGTACTGATGACACTGGATATATAAATATGAAAGGGACTAAGATGCTTATAGCATTCTATCATTACTAGAGCAATTTTTGTTTTTTTTTAATACAAGTACTTTAGCAATTTATAACAGAGAATAACAAGAAATATAAATGTTGCATGTTCAATCACCAAAAATTTGATGTCAATCATCCAACTTTTCTGCTTAGGCTCTGTTTAGTATCTCGGACAGACAGGATGTTGTGAAAAAGATATTAAGAAAAGCTAAGCTTGTCCCACTATATGATTAATATGGCATTCTTAACAATAATATGGCATTCTTAACAATTGACCTCTTTAAAATCACAGAAATTGGATATCATCCATCATTTTGGAATTCGCATTTTTTCATAGTAAGCTAAATATAATGAATTTTTATCAATTTTAACCACAGTGCCGTGTAGCTTCATATCACAAAAAAAGCACCATTGATTCTGATTTTTCTCTGAGAGAAAAGATACAGACTCATGGCCTCAACTTTGTACTACTTCAACCACCATGGCAAAGATGTTTGAGACCACTTCCAGTTTTACTTGCCATATCACAAAACAACCTATAAGCGATCTTCCAAATAATTGAGATGCTGAAGCTAGCATATAGTAGGTTGAAAATAGAAAAGATATAGTTCGTATCACGAATGACAAACAATGAAGATAACCTGAAATTCCTGGACTTGCTTTTGTTGCTCAGCTTGCAACCTACCAATTGTACTAAAAAACTCACCAACTGCTGACTCAACTCGCTCGTTAACGGCTTCTGCTACAGCCTTCCCCAGGAAAAATGCATCCAATATATTCCTGCTGTCACCATCACCTGCATTATTCAGCACACTATTACCCCGCCTGTATCTTTTTCCTCAATTGCAACTTACATATAAATATAATTAAGAAAAATGACAAATACCCACCATTTCTTGTCCATTAAAAGTTCAAAAGACTCATAAATAAAGCTAACTTAAAGACAATTCAATAATTAAAAAGAGATAAAATTGAGGGATTGTACCGGAACCAGGAGGGCTAGGTTTGGTGCTGCTATTACATTGTAGTGTGAGTCTTTGAGTTGGTCTTGCTCCACCAAAGCTAAGACCTTTAAGTTTAAGATCTGAGGAACATGGTAGGGTACGAGAAGTGACAGTGACTGAGTTGAATGGATTGCTCAAACAGCCGTTTTGTTGGGGTTTAGATTGAATATACGAACAGAAAATTGAAGTGGGCGAAGAAGCTGAAACCAATGTGTTCATGTTTTTCCTCTCTGTGTTGTGGCTGTTGGGTTTCGTATCTCACCTGTAATTTTCATCAATCGTCAGATTGATTCTTCGGAAACAAACGGGTCTGGCCGTCTGGGTTCGGTCCAATATTTTTTTATTTTCTTCCTTTTCCTTTGTTTTTTTCAAGAAGCAAAATTATTCTATTGATTACCTCAACATTTTTAAAAAATATTAAATATTTTTTACTTAGTTAATGTTATCTATTTCTATCTATACATAAAAGTTATAGAAGAAAAATATTTGTTAGTAAATTATAGTAAAAATTTAAAGTACAAATAGGTAGAAGTGTATTAATTTTTAAAAAATTGTAAGTTATATTTGTAAATTGTATGTACATATTTTATTATAACATAATTTTCTTTCTTTCTTTCTTTCTTTCTTTTTTTAATTTCAAAAAGATTCATATAGAGATAAAAAGAAAAGAATTATTCACTTTATATAGATGCATTAGAATTTTTTTTTTTTTTAGTTACCAAGGGTGTCCGAGCCAACTTACGGGTACCTCGACCCCAAACAAGGCTTCCGAAGTAGGGCAAACCTTACAATCTGTAACCAACAATATTAGCAACTGTTCTTATGATTCAAACCTATTGGATAAGGGTGAGCACCCATGATGGGTTAATCTAAACGGCGTGTGAAGTGGAAACTGCCAAAGGCAGTTTTTCGCTAACCGCCGCCCATATATAAAGAAAATTTTTCTCTTTTAGAATTAAGATATACACACACGCTCTCTCTCTCTCTGAAAATAGTTAAAGGAAAAACTCTACAGTAGTTTTCTCTCCAGATTCAACTTTTGCTTCAGAATTAAGGAGAAGAGGTATTTATGCTGTGTAAATACATTGTAATTCGTTTTTATAAAAAATGTGACTGCAATGGGTGACTATGAACATGATCTTGGGATTAGTTTATAATATTTGTTATTCTGTATTTTTTCCAACAATGGTATCAGAGTTGTGGTTTATATTGTTTTAAATTCTTACTATTATGTTAAAGCATGTTGCTTATTACTTAAATGCAGTTCTGAAATTTCAATTTTTGTGCGTAAAAAGTTGTCTTTTTGGTAATGATAATTAGATTATTAGATTCCTTATGAAATTAAGAAGAGAAATGGCATCTACATCTAAGAACATTGTCGTCAAACTTAATAAAGGAGAAAAATTTAACGGTGAAAATTATGAGATATGGAGCATGAAAATCCAGTATGTCTTGGAAGAATAAGAGGTTCTTGAAGCTCTTACCATGACCATGGAAGAGCCTAAAGAAAGAGTCACGACTCAACATAGAAGAGACCGTGCAGATTATGACATGTGGAAGAAGAAGAATTCCACTGCTTGCATCACTTTGTTGAGCAGCATGGACAATGATCTCATGAAAAAGTACCGAGATTACGAATTAGCAAAGGACATGTGGTCCACCCTTGCTACAAAGTTTGGCGGTACGTCCATTACCAAACTCTAGTCACTCACTATCAAGTTTGACACATATAAGAAAAAGCATGAACATACTATGAGAGTACACTTACGACACTTATCAAACATGATTAGTGAGTTGAGAGATGCAGGTCATGTCCTAACTAATGAACAACAGGTTCAAGCTGTCATAAGATCATTGCCTCAAAATTGGGAACACGTGAAAATACACCTTACCCACAATGAGGGTTTCAGAAATTTAGAAGATGCCACACGACATTGGAATTGGAAGAAGATCGCCTTAATGCGAGTAAGGCAAATAATGATGTGTATATGACTAGTTCCAGTTCACATGGTGGGAAGGGATTTAAACGTAAATTCTAATATGGATCCCAAAGAAAAGGCAATACTGATAAGGCTCAAGGGAAGAAGAGAAAACTTTTTAAACATGGAAAAGGAAAGCATCCTGCCAGGAAGAGAAACATGGCAAAGGTGAAATGCTATAACTGTGGCAACAAGGGACATTTTGCTCCCAATTGTAGCGAGCCGAAAAAGGTAAATTACTTATTTGCACAAGTAAGTTATATAAATGTTTCCAGTTCTATTTTCCTAACTGAATCTCATCCTTTGTAGATTATAGATTCAGCAGCAACAGACCACATAGCGAAAGACAGGAGTGCTTTCGTGGAGTTTTGACGAATACCACGGGAAACAAAATAGATATATGTAAGTAAGAATTCAAAAGTGGAAGTTAAAGGGATCAGCACATGCAAATTGATCATGCGTGGAGGTCGAATTCTATACCTACATGATGTGTTATATGCACCCGATATTCGTCAAAATTTAATTTCTGTGTTAGAACTTATTAAACTTGGTTTTAATTTAAACTTTTCCAGTACTGGTGTCCATTTATTTTTTGACACAACATACTATGGTTGTGGTTATATTTCTGATGGTTTTATAGTACTTGACATTGCTCAAAATTATAGTAATGTTTGTTTTTCTTTCACTACATCTTCCAATAATGATGATGTGAATATAAGGCATGCACGGCTTGGCCATATTGGCCAACAACGAATGAATATACTAGCAAGAGAAGGCTTGTTAGGATTTTTAACAAAAGTAGACTTGACTACTTGTGAACATTGCCTAGTTGGAAAAACAGCAAGAAAACCATTTGGAAAAGCGATAAGAGCTGAAGTTCCATTGCAACTAATTCATTCTGACATATGTGGTCCAATGAATGTGAGAGCTAGACACGAGGCTATTTATTTCATCACATTTATAGATGATTTCACTCGATATGGTTATGTTTTTTTTTTTTTTTCTAAAAAATCAGAAGCTTTAGAATGCTTTCAGAAGTTTAAAAACTTAGTTGAGAATCAATTAGATAAAAAGATAAAAGTTCTACGAACCGATCGAGGTCGTGAATATTTATTTGATCAGTTCATAAATTTTTGTGATGAAATGGGAATAGAACGTCAATTAACTATTCCAAGAACTTCGCAACAAAATGGTGTTGTAGAATGAAGAAACGAAACCCTACTTGAGATGGTGAGGTCTATGATGGCACAAGCAAACTTGCCCATCATCTTTTAGGGTGATGCCTTATTGACTGCCACATATATCCTCAATCAAGTACCCTCCAAATCTATTACTACTACACTATATGAGTTATGGACAAATCGAAAACTCAATTTGAGTCTCCTAAAGCCATGGGGATGTGCTACCTATGTTCATGATCCTTCCCATAAATATGGAAAATTAGGTCCAAGGGGGAAGAAATGTATCTTCATAAGATGCTCAGAACATTCAAAGGGATACGTCTTCATATGAGAACAAGAAAGTGGTAGCATCACTGAGTTTGAATCACCAGATGTCACATTCTTAGAAACCGATTTTTCTAAGAAGGGCGAGATAGGTCAAGACTTGTTTCTATATGAAACACAAGATCAAGACAATTCTGTTGCCAATAATCAGTTGGTTATACTACATCCCAATGGGAGCGATATGGAAATTGATGAATCAGTTTCAGATCCTCCATCATTCCCTACTGACAATCCAATTATGATAGCTGGTCCAAGTGGGAGTAACACTAATCAATCTCTAATACATTGATCAAACAGGAAACAAGTTCCACGTTGACAATTTGAGATTGAGGGGGAAATTTTTCTAGTTACTCGACAAGATGAAGAAGAGCCAAGGAATGTAAATGAGGCTCTCAATTGCCCTTCTAAGGAAAAATGGATGAAAGCAATGGAAGAAGAATTGGAGTCTATGAAATCAAACCAAGTATGGGAATTGATTGATTTGCCAAATGGACGCAAAGTCATTGGGAACAAGTGGGTTCTCAAAATCAAGCGTAAAGTTGATGACAGTATTGAAAGATACAAACCTTGCTTAATCGCGAAGGGGTATACACAACAAGAAGGAATAGATTATGAAGAAACCTTTTTGCCTGTTGTGCGGTTTACCTCAATCCGACTTATTTTAGCTATAGTTGCTAGCATGGATCTTGAATTGCATCAATGGATGTAAAGACTGCTTTTCTCAATGGAGAATTACAAGAAGAAATCTATATGGAACAACCAATAAGTTTTATTAGAGAAGGTCAAGAACACAAAGTGTGTAGACTTTTAAAGTCATTTATGGCCTTAAGCAGTCCTCAAGACAGTGATATATTCAATTTCATAATGCGATAATGTCATATGATTTCAAAATGATAAATGAAGATCACTGTGTATATACAAAGAGATCCAATAACAAATTTGTTATATTATCATTATATGTTGATGATATACTTATAGCTGGAAATGATAAGGGATTTGTCAATGAAATCAAAGAATGGTTATCGTCTCATTTTGGGATGAAAGATATGGGTGAAGCTGCATATATTCTTGGAGTCAAGATTTCAAGAGATCGCTCAAGAAAATTAGTATCTCTTTCACAAGAACCATACATTAAGAAAATTCTTGAACGATTTCATATGCAAGATTGTAAACCCATAGACAATCCTATCGCGAAAGACGAGACTTTGAGTCGTAATATGTGTTCGAAGACTCCACAAGAAAAGGAACAAATGAAGAATGTTCCTTATACAAGTGTTGTTGGAAGTCTCATGTACGCCATGATGTGCACTAGAGCTGACAACTGTTATGCCTTTGGATTGGTAAGCAGATATCAGTCCGACCCAGGACAAGCACATTGGAAAGCAGTGAAGAGAATCTTAAGATATCTAAAAGGAACAGCTGATTACTTATTACGTTATCAAGGAAATGATTTACACTTGAGAGGCTACACCGATGCTGATTGGGGAGGAGATTTAGATGAAAGGAAATCTACTTCCGGATATGTTTTTTTACTAAATGGTGGGGCCATATCATAGAGCAGTAAGAAACAATCATGTATAGCCTTATCTACAATTGAGGCTGAGTTTGTAGCCTTTTCAGCTACAGTGCAAGAAGCTGTTTGGTTGAGACGGTTCATGAATCATTTGGGAATAATTAATGTTGCTATTGAACCAGTAAAAATAAACTATGATAGTTAAGCAGCAATAGCATACACTAAGGATCCCAAATATCATGGTAAAACGAAACACATATATATCAAATATAATTTTGTGTGAGACTTGGTGGCACAAAAAGAGATGAGCATGAAGTATATATCTACGCATGACATGGTTGCGGATCCATTTACA